AAACAGGGTCTCCCTGTAGCCCTAGCTGGCCTGGAACTCACTATGTAGACCAAGCTGGCCTTGAATTCATGGAGATCCACCTGCCTCTGCCTCCCAAGTGCTGGGATTAAAGGCATGTACCACCACACCCAGACATCCTTTTCTTTCTTTTCCTTTCTTTTTTAGATGCCTGCCCAGTAGAGCTGTTTTTTGTTTTGTTTTGTTTTCTGGGTTTTTTCCCAGCTTCTTCAATTTAACTTTCTTTGTGGTGAGGATCTATCTTTTTAAGTATTTTTCTGGAGTCCTTTGGAAGCCAGCCCACCCAGAGTCTTGGTGCTTCCTACTCACAGCTCTTGTCCTGGAATTCTTTTCATTTAAACTCACACCTCCTCTCTGGGCAGTCCTACAACCCCATTGACCTGATTATCTTTCTTCCCCCAAACACTCATTACCTTCTAATCCTTCATCTTTTATCTCTCTCTCTCTCTCTCTCTCTCTCTCTCTCTCTCTCTCTCTCATCTGAGATACAGAGACATGCCCAGAGGCAGAGTGATTGTGACACCCATTGTGTGCCCAGCACCTGGTGCCGGTACTTGTCTTGTGGTCACTTCCGGGGATTCTGACCCTCACTCCAGTGCTCCCAGATGTGGCTGGTTGATAGGGCTTCTGGGCATTTCTGTCTACACTCCCTCCGCATCCCTTTCCTGGCCTCCTATAGTAGCTAGTTGAGGAAGCAGGGTTGTCTGGGTTCTGCCTGATCTCCAAGTACTTATTTCCCATAATTTGGCAGTTATATCTAGAGTTGTGTAATCTGATGTGGTAGCCATAGTCACATGTGGTAGTTTATATTTAAGTTAATCAAAAATAAAAACTCAGGGCAGGAGAGATGGTTCAGCAGTTAAGAACACTGACTGTTCTTGCAGAAGACCCAGGTTCGAATCCCAGCGCCCACATGGCAGCTAACAGCTGTCCGTAACTCCAATTCCAGGGGATCCAACAGCCTCGTCTGTCTTCCGCTGGCATTGCACAACACGGGTGCACTTACCTACATGCAGGCAATACACACATACACATAAAATTAAATAAATAAATAAAATTAAAAAAAATAAAAACTCAGCCAAGCGTGGTGGCTCATGACTGTAATCCCTGTACTTGGGTAAGGCAGAAGAATTGGCAAAAGTTTGAGGTCAGCTTTGCTTCCGTCACCAGTCTGACTTCCGATTCCCAGACTGAAAACTGGGGTTTTCAGCAGCACAAGCACTTTACTGGCTTGTTCTGTCCCACAGTGTAAGCAGCAACCCCAGCACAGGCTTGACAGTGTGTCACCTGCAGTGTCACCCACGTGGGCATGTCATCCTAGCACATGTTTGTGCTTCTTTATTTCATGTTTTGATTTTTAGGACTCCTTTCATTTAGTTTCGTGTTATGATTATATAGCATGTTTAGGGGCTGGAGAGATGGCTCAGCGGTTAAGAACAGTGACTGTTCTTGCAGAAGACCCAGGTTTGATCCCAGCACCCACCTGGCAGCTAACAACTGTCTGTAACTCCAGTTCCAGGGGATCCGACAATTTGTTCTGTCCTCTGCAGGCATTGCACAACACGGGTGCACTTACCTACATGCAGGCAATACATGCATACACATAAAATAAAAATAATAATAAAAAAAATTAATTTAAAAAAATTGTGTAGCATATTTATATGGTTTCAAGTCAAACCTGCAAAACAAAATTTATTCAAGGAAGTGTGGGCTATATCCCTGTTACCTCCTCAGTGGGTGACTTTTATGGCTTATTTTTCTGTTCTCTAAAAGCTCTAAGAGGGCCGGGGAGAGGGCTTAGCAGGTAAAGGCAGTTGCTGCCAAGCCTGAAAACCAGAGTTCAATTTCCTAGAACCCACATGGTGGAGAGAGAACCAACTCCCACAGGTTGTCCTCTGATTTCTACATGTGCGCTGTGGCATATACGTGCATGCATACACACACACAAATAACCAAATAACTGAGTGAATAAATAAATGGTATTTTTTTTTTTATAACTGTAAGAACTGATTACGTTGGTGAAAGCCTGTAATCTCAGCACTTATGAGGCTGCGACAGGAGGCCTGTCAAGAATTTGAAGCCTGTCTGGGGCGCATAGCAAGATCCTCTCTCAAAAACAAACAACAGCAACAACAAAACCCACCCACACTTAAGCCAGATTCTCCTGCTTGTTTTCAGTTAAATGTGTTTTAGCTAATCATTCTCAGTGGGATGCAGTAGAGACCATTGCATAGTAATATACAGAATGACTGCATAACTTTCTGTGGTAGGTGCATGCCATTTGTGAATGTGTCAGTCTGTTCCACCAGTCCCTACTGACTTCGTGTACATAGTGACCCTCTGAATAGCTTCCAGTACTGGGTGGATCCCAGAGGCCAGAGTACTGGGTGGAAGGCTCGTGCATGCTCAGTTGCTGTGTAGTTTATGTAGTCATTTTAAATTGTAGAGAAAAAAAAATGTTTTCAACACTCCAGCCCTTGTATACTGTCCATCTTTCTTACCAAGTTGGAATCATCTGAACATCTTAACCGAGTCACTCTAGTGACATAGATGGTGCTGTTAGCCTTTCTTGGCTGTTTCCTCAGGGAGTAGCCTGTTTGACTTTGTTCCAGAGTAAAAATGCTGAGTGGAGGAGAAATTCCCATCAAGTGGGTGTGTGGCACAGCCCTGCTCTGTTCACACCCCAGGGCTTCCTGCAGGTGTCTTGTAGGCTGCTAGGCCGGCCTATCCTGTCCTTCTCATGGCCTGTCTTTCAGATTTGGTTGTGACCATCAATGGGGTGTGGATACTAGTGGAGACATTCATGCTGAAAGGTGAGCTGCAGCCAGGGACTGGAATGACCTTGTCCTGCTTGGCACCTGGCTCACCCTGAGATGCTGCTTCTCTGTTTTCTAGGCAGGAACTTCTTCTCCAAGCATGTGCCCTGGAGCTACCTCGTTTTTCTCACCAGTAAGTGTGATGTGGCTCTGCCTGGCTGCTAGCTTAAACATGGCTACGAGAGCTATGACTGGCTTTAGCATCTCATGGCTCTTCCCATAAAGGACCCTATCTTGGAGGTTTAATCTGACCCTCTGACCCTGTTTAAACTCCCTGTGCTTCTTGATGTCCTCCAGAGTGAGCCCAGGTCCATCATGGACTGCCCCCTGGCCACAGAAGGCCCTTCATTATAATAACCCACAGCCTTGTCACTGCCTGGTCCACTGCCCTCTCTCTAGACCAGAGAGAGAGCACAGATCACTGCTCACTTCCTCCTCCTATTACAGTCTATGGAGTGGAGCTCTTCCTGAAGGTGGCCGGCCTGGGCCCTGTGGAGTACCTATCCTCTGGATGGAACCTGTAAGTAGACCACGTGGTCACACAGGGCTGAGATGGTCACACCAACCACAAGTCCTCTCCCCACCCACACCCGACAGCCAGGAAGCTCTGGGTACATGTTTTGAAGGTCACAGGACAGCTAGTTCTTATATGGAGCCAGTCTGCCTGTGGCTCAAGACCTCCTTGGAGTCTGGCTCTATCTGTAGCCTGTAGGGCCTCTCATACCAGTATCAGAGGCTGACAGGCTCTTTCTGTGTCACTGAGCTTTTTCTCCTCTGTTAAAAGCAAAAAGGCTGCAGAACGCCTCACCTCTCCTTGGCTAGTAGTGAAAAGAAACATGTGGCAGAGCCAAGTGTGATGGCACATGCCTGCAAATCCTGGCATGCTGGAGGTGGAGACAGGAGGATCAGGAGTCCAAGGCCACTTTCAGCTAGCCTGGGGTACATGAACAGAAAACCAAAACCCCCCCAAAAAAAACACATGGCCTCACTGTGGCTCTGGAGGTTACCTACCCTCCTTTAGTTAAAGTTAACTCACCTGTGAAGTCAGTCTGTGCGCACGAGGCCTTGGGTCATCAAAATAGAACCAGTGATGGAAGAAGAGGTCAGAGGAGCAAGAAGCCTCAGATGCATGTCTCTCTGCCACATTTACTTAAGACGAGGTAGTGAGCCCAGAAGTTCAAAGTCTGCCTGGGCAACACAGTGGGATACCATCTCAAAAACAAGAAATTAAAAAAAAAGTATGCAGTAGACGCTTATCAAGGCATGAGGCCCTGGGTCCATTCCTGGCCCTGTGTGTCACATGAGGACAGTAAGGATGTGGGCCTGCCTCCAGTGCTCGAGAAGGGACTCATGGCAAGTCCTGCCTGGGGGTTGAACAGGCCCCAGTGTGTCCAGATGCCTAGGGTCTGCCAAGGCTGGCTTTTGCCCCCTGCCCATAGACTCAACATAGGACCCAAGAGACAGTTCCTAGGCATGTGTGCCCTGGGGTCAGAGCACTGAGGCTGATGCCCAGACCTGAGCTGTGGTTAGGGCCTGGCCGGTTCACCTCAGAGGTCCCAGGGTGGCAGACTGGCATCCTGAGGTGACTGATTATGGACCATAGAGTATGTACTGGGAACCTTTCTATGTGTGGCTGGTGTGTGGACTCTGGGATCCAGCTGAGGGCAGGGCAGGCAGGGTGGGTGGAGGAGGCCTTGGATTTACTGACAGTGATTTTTTCCCCTGGCCCCAGGTTCGACTTCTCAGTCACGGCATTCGCCTTCCTGGGATTGCTGGCTCTGGCCCTCAACATGAAGCCCTTCTATTTCATTGTGGTCCTGCGTCCCCTCCAGCTGCTGAGGTGACCTGCAGGGCTGGGAACAAGCAGGGGCGGGGGTGTGCATGTGGGAAGCCCTGGGATTGGCTAGGCGATTCACCAGCTAGTACCAGGGCCACCATCTTTAGCATGGGGCATGTAAGGTGGGGGCACCCAATGCCCTGACCAGAAAAAGACCCACCCAGCTCACCTGCCCTGTCTTGAGTCAGAGAATCTCACCTCTGAGGGACAGAAGGAATAGCCAGGGCCCCTTGCACATGCCTGTCTCTATGAGAGCATCTTCACATGGCTTTCCCCACCTTCCATGGCCCTGTGAGACCAACCATGCCTTTCTCCTCAGGGTTTGGGTTCTCATGGCATCAGGAGCCAGGGCTTTCTTGACTGCCATGTCCCTTCCTGGGCCATTCCTTCCAGGAGGGAGCTAGGGAGGCCTTACAAGACCAACTTGAGCAAGTCTGCTGCTGTTTGTTTCTCCCATTTCCTCCCACCCACTTCCTGGTAGTCTCTGGGTGTGGACATCTGCCCTTTTCCTGGGGTTGTCCTGCTTGTCTGAGCTTCTGGCTTCATATGTCCACTCTGGTGGGGACCCACTGCCTCTTTCTGCCATATAACATGCTATGAGGCTGGCACAACTCTGTAACTTCTCAGAGGGTCTTGGCTGCCCCAGTGTCCTGGGACTTCCCCTGTCCAGTACCAGGGCTAGTAAGTGGTGAAAGAAGCAGGATCAGATATGGGAGGCCCCTTTACCCTGTCCTCTTGTGAGGAGAGGAGGGCAGGGTTCTGGTGCATCTGAGGAAGGAAGCTACAGCCACACTCCTGCCTCTGAGGTCCAAGCACCACGGTCTTCTCTTTGCTCAGGCTGTTTAAACTGAAGAAGCGCTACCGCAACGTGCTGGACACCATGTTTGAGTTGCTGCCGCGGATGGCCAGGTACTGCCCACCTCTCAGTCTGCAGGTCTGGGCAGCATGAGGCTTATGCGGGGTCCAGGGGGAGCTGAGGCAAAGAGGAGTCCCAGAAAGGACTGGATCTCAGGGTCTGGGGGGTCTTCAAGGAGATGGAATCTGGACCACACAGGTCCCTTGGCAGCACTGGCCTGACTGAACTGTGTAGTGGGAAGGGCAGGAAACTGTGAACTCATCACCTGTGTCTACGTTCACAGGTAAGGGGTCACCTGTGAGCCCACTTTCACAGGTAAGGGGTGTATTTCTGGTCAAGGGGCATCTGTCCCTAGTGTCCCTGACATGAGCCATGCGGCCCCTCCCCTGCAGGCACTTTGCGGTGGTCACCTGGCCAGGGCTAGGGGCATGCCTCCCACAGTCAGCGCCAGGGACCAGGACATGCTGCAGCCTCTGCTGCCTTGTCTGGCCCTGACTGCCCTGTCCCTCTACCTCCCCAGCCTTGGCCTCACACTGCTCACCTTCTACTACTCCTTCGCCATTGTGGGCATGGAGTTCTTCTACGGGCAGCTCTACCCCAACTGCTGCAAGTGAGTTCCATGGGGAGCCCTGGGCCTGGGCAGGGCTAGCTTTCTTTGCTCCTGAGCTGGTACTCTAGTCTGGGGGCCAATGTCAGACATCTCTACAGAACTCAGACCTCAGTCAACACACACTTCCCCAGAACTGGAGCACCCCACTCCCCATAACTCCAGGAGAGGCTGGGAGCTGACAAGGGAATGAGATGTGGCAGGAAGGTCGTAGAGCTGACGCCTCTGTGGCCCCTCCTGATCCTCCAAAGGGAAATGAATGTGTTCCACTATTGATGCATTCGCCCCACTTCCGACTGGCCCTCGAGGTCTTTAGCACCAACAACTCACAGTCACCAGTGGCCCCCAGGGGCATCCAGCTGAGCATGGTACCAAGAACCCAAAGGAATGGTCAGTAACTCAACAGGACACCTGTCACCAGGGTGCTCAAGTCTGCATTCTGACTTCGACCTTCCTTCAGTGTGCATGCGCCCATCAGGCTGGGGACTCAGGACACAGCCTCCTAGAAAACTCCCTGCTAGCCTGGGCACTAGACTTTTACATATGGCAGCACGGATTTTAACAGAACAGTATAAAGGCAAGCATGGCACACAGGGTCCCCTCAGAGTGCAGCCACAGCTGAGACATGTGCACAGTGTTCTGAGATGCCTGGGAGGGCAGAGGTGGCCCCTACCTGTCACTGCCTCCTCCCTTGCCAGCTACAGAGACAAGTGCCCAGTGATGGCATATGGGATGGGACATTGGCAGCACTAAGAGGCTGGGAAGGCCCTGGCTAGAACTTGGTTTGCAGGCTTGTTCCTGGTAGAGGGGACCAGTCATCAGGTGTCCCCCCTCCCCACCCCACACCCTCCTCTCCCTTCCTAGCACCAGCACTGTGGCCGATGCCTACCGATGGCTCAATCACACAGTGGGCAATAAGACCGTGGTGGATGAGGGTTACTACTATCTCAATAACTTCGATAACATCCTCAACAGCTTTGGTGAGTGAGAGCTTCAGAGGGTGCTCCTGGCCTTACTGCCTTGGTCCTGCAGGGCCTAGGGATGGCTCTGCAGAGCTGCATGAGACCTTCCTTCCCCAGCCCTTTCTGGTCCCTCGTAGCAGTGTTGTGTGACTGGAGTCCAGGCAGATCTGGTCTCGCTCAGCCACCAGACCTCACAGTAACAGAGAGGTAACAGGCACTCACTGGAGGGGGTGCCCCTTGTCAGTGCCAATCATTGGGGCCCCAACCATACCAGTGCGCCTCAGTGCTGGTGATGCCCCAGCTCTGGAGCTCCTCTCTGTGCCCTGGTTTCTTGGAAGAACCTAGGGGGTAGAGGAATGTAGCCTCTGGAGAACAGGGAGCCCCTCCTGGTCACCATATGTACCTGTAAAGCCTGGGTACTCTCTACCCACCACCCATCCCAGCCAGCTCTGGTCCTTCTTGGGGTGTTCAGGCAAAGCACGTGCCTTCTTGGATAGGTTAAGGTTGTAGGACTCCCTGTGGAGCAGGCACTTGGGGGCTGAGAGGCCCCCAACACTGGCCTGAGGCTTCCCCACTTTCCCTGCAGTGACCTTGTTCGAGCTCACGGTTGTCAACAACTGGTACATCATCATGGTAAGGTCTGAGACTCCCACCACCCCTTGCTTCTCACGGGGCTGGGATACATTTCCCTTCCTGACTCCTCAGAGTGTGGGGTCCTGATCTCAGTGCGAGGCCGTAGTGTGTCTGGCACCAACCCTGGGCTCTGCCCCCTGTTGTCTCTCCCTTCCTTGTGTACTTCTGACAGCTAGAGATGGCATCAGCCTCTGGGTATCCAGTGTCTCCTACCATGTGGAGGCATCTGTCAGTCAACAGTGTGCCATGCTTGACCCTAAGGCATATACTTATAGTCCCAGCTGCCTGGGAGGCTGAGGCAAGAGGATCACTTGACTCAAGCCACTGTAGAGAAACTTTGTCTCTAAAATACAAAGCAAAGAGTGTGGCAAGAATAGTTCCTTTTTTCTATTACTTAAACTCCAGATGAGGACTATCTGTGCCAGTCCAGGCTCCAGCCAGCCATGGGAAGCACTGGGGGTAGATGGGGTGGGGGTTGGTATCTGATGGGAAAGAACCTTCAGACTCAGGGAGCTTGAGGCCCTCACCTCTGTCCCCATACCCATTGGAAAATCAGGGAGGGGACAGGGAAGAACAGGTGTTGTCTGCCTGGATCTGGACTGAGTGGGGAGGGGATGCCTCAGGCTCACTCACTGTCTCCCCTCCCCCCGCTCCCCACCCCCCAGGAAGGCATCACCTCACAGACGTCACACTGGAGCCGCCTATACTTCATGACCTTCTACATCGTGACCATGGTAGGTCCTGGCTCAGCCATTCTTGGTCCTCCCAGGCTGCAGTGTTGAGGAAGGGCCTCACTAGCAACCAAGACACACACGATGCGTCCCTTGGCAGGTGGTGATGACCATCATCGTAGCCTTCATCTTGGAGGCCTTCGTCTTCCGGATGAACTACAGCCGCAAGAGCCAGGATTCAGAAGGTCTGTGTGGGCCTCGTGCCCGGCACTGCTGCCCGCTGTCCGGCTGCCATACTCTGCTTGCCTGCTTGTCCTGCCTGCAGCACTTTAGCTTTTGTGCTTGGCTTGTCTGTCCAGGCCTCTCATTTGCTTTGTCAAACATCTAGTATCAGTCAGGAGGCAGAGGCAGGCGGATCTCTGTGAGTTCAAGGCCAGCCTGAACATAGTGAGCCTCACATAGTGAGTTCTAGGTCAGCTGGGGCTACAGGGAGACCTGGTCTTGAAAACGCCAAATAAAGGGGCTGGAGAGATGGCTCAGCAGTTAAGAGCACTGACTGCTCTTACAGAGGACTCGGGCCCGATTCCCAGCACCCTCATGGCAGCTATGAACCATCTTTAACTCCAGTTCCAGGGGAATCCAAAGCCCTCTTCTGACCTCCAATGGCGTTGCACAACATGGGTGCACTCACATACATGTAGGCAATACACTCATACACGTAAAATAAAATAATAAATAAAATGTTTTTAAAAAGCCAAAAAGAAAAAAGACAATCTAATCTCAGAAAAGCACTTAGGATCACCTAATGTAAAACCCGTAGCTGCCATGGCCTCAGAGGGCCGAGTTCAGAAGGTCCACTATGGGAGGACCAGCCCTTTGTCCTGCCCTCCCGACTCTCACCAGCACATACCACTGAGAGTCCATGTCTCTGGGTAAGAGCCAGGACAGCAAGACAAGCTAATCCTCCTGTCAGCTGTTGCCCCTTTTCCCTACAATACACTTAGACCACCATTCCATGCCTGTGTGTGAACATTTGACTATGGAGGTGAACAATGTCCCTTCTGCAGCCCTGTGGCCTGGCTGTATGGTGGCATCACTTCCCCTTGCTTGCACAGTCATCTGTGTCCCTACATCCATCCTTAGCTCAGTGTAGAGTGCTCCCTAGCCTGTATAGGGCCTGGCTTCCATCCTTCTGTCTCAGCATCCCCAATGCCATTTGACTCTTGTTTTTGCTTGGAAACTCCCTCTCAGAGCCATCTGTTTGTTTGTTTGTTTGTTTGTTTGTTTGTTTGTTTGTTTCAGATAATGTCTTGTGTAGCCAAAGCTAGCCTGAGAATTGTTAGGTAGCTAAGGCTGGCCTTGAACTGATCTGCCTGCTCTACCTCCCCCTTTCCCCCAAGTGCTGAGATTACTGTGTGCCACCATACCCAGCTCTCCCTGAAGCCCTCTGTCCCCTGTATGCTGTTGGCTAGACATGCCCTCCTGACATATTAACAAGGGGAGGGGAAGGAGGCTCCCCAGTGGCTGGGACAGGGTGGGTGCTGCTTGGGAGGGAAGGTGGAGACCCCACAGTGGGTATGTGAAGAGCAGTTTGGGAGCCCAGCTCTCCCCATATTCAGTTGATGGTGGCATTACCCTTGAGAAGGAAATTTCCAAGGAAGAGCTGCTTGCCATCCTGGAGCTCTACCGTGAGGTACGAGGAGCCTCCTCTGATGTTACCCGGCTGCTTAGCACCCTCTCACAGATGGAGAGATACCAGGTGAGGGGCCATCGGCTCTGCAACTGCAGTTGGGGGGTGGACAGGTGCTGGCCTAGTACAGGCTCTACCATGTAAAGTTGGTTGTAGCCTTGCAAATGCCAGTGGGGTAGGAAAGGCCCCCATGGTGCAGCTTTAGTGCCCTAGCGCAGGTGAGGCCGTGCCAGCCACAGCCATGCACTCCTCACAGCCTCTGCCCCTCCCCAGCAAAATTCCCTGGTGTTTCTGGGACGGAGATCAAGAACTAAAAGTGACCTGAGCCTGAAGATGTACCAGGAAGAGATCCAGGTAGGAGCCCATGGCTGTGCTGTGCCCTCATAGGCTGCCACCCTGGGAGGGACCCTTATAGTGGGCTTTGGAAAACTCTAGGGTCTACATGGGACTTGGGACTGAGGCCCTGCTTGGCCTTGGTCTGCTCCAGGTGGCTACTTTCCCATCCATCCTGCTGTGTGGCTGGTTAGCCCCTCACTGGTGCCAGCACCTCTTGCAGTTCTTAGCTAAAGATGTGAGCAATAAGAGACAGGAGGGAGGGGACCAGGCCAGCTGCAGGACCTGCAGCCAGAGGGCAGCTGCCTCCTCCTTTCTGCACAGTGCTGCAGAACCTGCCCCTGCTGTGCTCAGAGCAGCAGGCATTTTGATTGTTTGGAGCACTTTTTAAAAAAATTTATTTTCTTATTTATGTGTATGTGTGTGTTCCCACATGAGTTTATGTTCAGCATGCTTGGGTAAGGCCAGAGGGTGTCGGATCCCCAGGAACTGGAGTTACAGGCAGTTGTGAGCCACCTGATGTGGGTGCTGGAAACCAAACCCAGGTTAAGGGTGGTATGTGCTCTTAATTGAGGAGCCATCTCTCTGGCCCTGGCTTTTTTTTTTTTTTAATATTTTATTTTATTTTTTTATTTTATGTTTATGCATGTATTGCCTGCATGTAGGTAAGTGTATCTGTGTCATGCAGTGTCCAAGGTGGTCAGAAGAGGGCATCAGATCCCTTGGAACTGGAGTTATGGACGGTTGTTAGACACCATGTGGGTGCTGGGAATCAAACCTGGATCCTCTGCAAGAGCAGCCAGTGCTCTTAGCTGCTGAGCTGTCTCTCCAGCCCTGGCTTTTGTTTTTAAAGACAGGGTCTCACTATGTAGCCCCAGCTGGTCTTGAACTCACAGATATCCACTTGCCTCTGCCTCCTGAGTGCTGAGATTAAAGGCAGTGGCTTTTAAAGGCAGAAAAGGAAAAGTCGGTTTTCTTTTTTCCACTGTCTCCCAGTCTTTCCATATTTGGCAACTTTTTTTTTTCCTTTTTTTAAAAAAGTATTTTATTTATTTACTTCTATTTTATGTGTATGAGTGTATTGCCTCTATGTGTGTAAGTACACTCATGTTGTGCAGTGTCTACAGAGGTCAGAACCCTGGGACTGGGGTTACAGACGGTTGTTAGCTGCCATGTGGGTGCTGGGAATCGAACCTGGGTCCTTTGTAAGAGTAATCAGTGCTCTTAACCACCGAGCCATCTCTTTAGTCCCCCATATTGGCAACTCTTAAGTCCGAGCACCATGCAGGTTGACACTATGCCCTCCCCACAGAACCCAGAGGTTCACCACTATGTGTGAGCCCCCTTGGACTCCTCCCTCTCCTCCAGGGACCTCTGTACCTTCCCCAGTACTAGCCTGGAGGGTGGGGCTGCAGTTCCCCAGAACAAGAAGTCATTATCAGGTTCCTCAGATTTGTGAGGGCTACTGCACTTGTGGCCAGACACTTGGACCCATCCAGGGTGACAGAGGACAATCTGTGCTTCTCAAGTAAGTGGGGACAGCTTAGTCGCGTACACTCAGGCATATGCATCAGACTGCTACCTGTCCACTTCCCTAAGCCTGCTGAGCTGCCCTAGGCCTCAGTTTCCCATCTCATAATGAGGGACACAACAGTGGGGTTACTTGGAAGTATTCTTTAGGCTCTGAAGGTCTGTAGCTTGTGTTGTTTTTAAAATGTAGGGGAGCTTTTTTAACTCCTTGCTTACTGAGTGTCCCAGACCCTGAAAGCTGCTGCCTTTCTATCTGGGGTTCCACAAGGCCCTTGGGTCCCATCAGGGTGGCAGAAGCAGTGTTTGAGCAAAGGTGACATGCAGCTGCTCTGAGCCTGGTTTTCTTGGGTGCAGAACGGAATAAAAAAGGGAGACCTTGGGGAAAATGTTTTGTGAATTCCAAAAGGTCATTTGTACCTGGGCGTCCTGCAGAGGCCATGTGGTCCTGACGCATTTCTGCAGCAGGGCTCCAGCCTCTGGTTTAATAAGAAGCAGGTCTGGGGCTGTTTTCTATTGAATCCCCAGCATCCAGGGTGGTGGTGGGTGTCCTTCCCAGTCAGGTGGGGCTCAAGGCTCCTGTTCTGTCCACCCAGCCTCTGCTGCCCCCTGTGGGCTATGGATCCCCATAGTCAACTGGGAAAACAGGCTGGCAGGTGGACAGCTGTCAGCAGCACCTGCCTCTGTTCTAGGAATGGTACGAGGAGCATGCCCGTGAGCAAGAGGAACAGCACCAGCAGCTCGGGGGCAGCCATCCCACCACCCAGCAGTGCCCTGGCAGTCGTCAGCGCTCCCAGACCATCACCTAGCCTGGGCTGCCAAGCCATCTCTCTATGCAATAACATGATAGTATTATGTCACTACAGTGTATCGTCGAAAGGATGTGTATATATAGACACATTCAGATATATGCACATATTTACAAAGACTAGCCAGGGCCAGTTTGAATTGCTTTGCCTTGTCTTCCTGAGCAGCAGTCAGCTTAGACAAGAGGACCAGGGCTGGCTGAGCTCTTGCTACCATGAAAAGTCTGAAGCCCCTTCTCAGGAGGCCCCTTGCATAGGCTGTGCCACCCCAGCAGTGCCAGCCTTCCCAGTGGGCACAAGACAACCCTTGACTGCCTTCCCGCTGCCACCACCGCCTTGGCTTCATAGTCCGGAGTTCCCCACTGCATAGTGCAGCGACTGTGTCTGGTGTTAGGGACAAAACCACTAGGGAAAAAAACCCAGTCCTGTGGGATGCTATGTGTAGACGTTAAAGTGCTAGAAGGTTCTCTTGGGGGACCTGTGCCTGGGACCCAGTGGGAAGCAAGGTGGAGGGCAACAGCACATGTAGCTAGGCCTCTGCTGGGCAGCAGGAGATGGCACCTGGTAGCAAAGCACATACTTTCCTGGGTCACTTCCGCTCCTGCCCTGTCACTGAAATCCTGTGCAGTGTCCTAGGTGATGGTGGAGGGCAGGTCCCAGGTGCTGGGGTGTGGCCAGTGCCTTAAATGCACTGCTTCTGGTAAGTCCTTTCTGTGATTCAGTGGTTAATTTGGACCAGTGTTGAGGGCAGCGGCCAGCCCTTCCTCACACCTCTAGTACTAGCCAGGGATGGAGCCACGGTACAGGGACTTACTGCTCGTCACAGCAGCCCCAGGCCAGCCGCTGGATCCACTGCACGTAGGATAGCTGTGCTTCAGGGACTGAGGTGCAGGGGGGACTGGCTTCCCCCCAGGTTCCAGGAGCAGGATGTTTGGCGCAGGAGGGTCAGGTGAACACTTAGCTGCCTTCTCCCAGTGCCTTGTTGGAATTCTTTGTGACATCCCAGCAAGGTAGCGGCAGGATAGTCAGGCCAGCTGCAGCCATATGGGAGTGGTGAGGGTGGTGGCTGAGTGGGAGCAGTGGTCACTTTGTCCTGCTGTTCTGCCAGTGAGTGAGGTGAAGAGACAGCAGCGCTGCGGAGAGCTGGAGAAGCAGCCTCCACCCCACTGAGCATCCTGGCTAACCTGGCTTTCCAGCCACCTGCTGCTTGGGACTTGAAGTAGGTGGGCAGAGCTAATCCAGCTCCCTACTCACCAACTCCAGGTCTAAGCTGGGAAGAGGGTATTTTCACTTTAAATAAAGCACAGAACCCTGGGAAAACTGCATCACTGAGAACCACTGGTTCCCATGAGGAGTCAGGAGACTGACACTGTCCCCTTCAACTCTAGATGGTTGTCAGCCTCACTGGAGCCCAGCCCACAGCCCTCTCCAGAGAAGGGACTTCATTTGCACAGCTGGGTGCCTTAGCTTTTGTGTATGAGTGGAAGCAGGAAGAGGGGTAGCCTTAGTCTAAGCCTTTTCTTTACCCCAGGCACTGAAACCACCACCACCCCCTAGCCTAGGGGAACTGGGCTCAATACCAGGGAGGTACTAAAGATGTTTGTCTAGCCTGTGGTGAATAGGGGCCAGATGGAGATAGCGCCAATAGGCCAAACTCCAGCCAGTCATGCAGACTAAGGACACCTGTCCCTACAGGGTCACCGTGGGCTAACCAAGCTGACTCTCAAACCTGCCAGCCAAGCAGGGAACAGGTGTCACTCAGGCTGTGAGCCGAGGGCTCCAGGACCCTGCTAGCTCAGATGCCCCCCTTACCCCCCATTACAGCTGACTGGGACCTTGTGGCCCTGTGTCACAACTTGGCAGGGGCAGCTATGGCAACATGTGCCTCCCTATGAGGCAAAGGCACTCTGGGGGAACAGTACCTAGCCTCTCCTCTTCCTCCTTGCTTCCCCTCCCCCACCCCAGCCTTACTCCATATGACAAGGACAATCATTTTGTATGGGTTAGGAGTCCATGCTGAAGGTTTTGTATGTTGGTGATTTGTTACCTAGAAACCCACTGTGCCCAGATTTCTGGTGTATCAATAAAGAGCCTCTGCTTTGTAGACATGGCTACTGCTTCTGACTTTGGGTTTAGGGGTGGGTCCCACTGTGGCCATTCTTGACCCCACCTCAACCCTACCCAGCCTTGCCATACCTGGCCAGGCAAGGAAGAACTAAGATGGTCAGGCTTCTTGCAATACACTTGAAAGAGTTCTAGTTTGTTTGAAAAAAGCAACAGTTGAGTGTCTTAGTTACGGCAGAAGGCAGGCAGAGAAAGAGTGGCTTTAAAACACTGGCCATGCCACTTGCAAGAGGCCCCTGGGGGTGGGGTACTCCCCCTGAGGTAGGCACAGGGCCAGGTTGGCTCTTACTTTGTAGATTGAAGCCAGAGTTCTGAGCATAAAATGTGTTGGGTGGGGGGTGTTCTAGACCCACAACCCAACAGGGCAACCATTCAGGTGGCAGGACTGGGACCCAGGTGGTTTTGAGCCACCTGGTTCAGTAATGTGTATTAACTTTAACTCGACCTGCTTCCTTTGGTTTTATTGACAGAGGCTAGGAAGTTAATCTATTGGCATGCTGACATAGCCAGTCTGCTATAGCTGGCCATAAGCTCTCACTGTGTGGACACTGGTAGAGCCCCGGAGGGAGCCACAGGATGGCCCAAAGCCCAGGAAGGGGCCCAGTAAAGGGCGCCGGCAGGCTGTTCTCCTCAGGGGCTACAATCATTGAAGTCCAGTTGCTTCCACCTGGAACTGTCCCCAGTAAACAGTCTCTGCACTAAGGCTGTTGGGTGCTAGCAGTCAGGACCTTGTGATCCAGAAAGCCCCCTCACAGGAGCTATGTGGGGACTACAGAACATGCCCCCTCCAGTTCTCCCCTCGGGAGGCTGTGGAACTGGGCAAAGTGGCTTCAGTCAGACACTTTTCAAGTGAATCACTCCAAATTCTGTGAGCAGGACCACGAGGAGGAAGCTGAGGTAGAAGACAAGCAGGCAGAAGCCGTAGGTTTTGCTGAGCTGGAAGCATTGCAGAGGGACGGAGACCAGTGAGATGATGAGGCTGAGTCCCAGGGCACCGGCCAGCACCCACACCAGCAGTCCATCTGGCTCCAGCTGCCGGGAGAACAAAATAGGCTAGCTTATTGCCCATTGAGGCACCCTGTGGGCCATGGGCACCACTCAGGCCATCTGCCAACAATGGTGGGGCCCGCTGTATGGAACAGCAGGCCTTACCTTGAAGTTACAGTTACTACCTTGGAAACTTCCAGATGCAGGAGACCCTTGTCTGTCAGTTTCTACTTCCCCTGCCTGGGTGTTTTCCCTGGCCTTGAGTGCTGGGTAGACACATGGACACTGATGACACAGGCTGGTCCAGTTTATACAGTGCTAGGGATCCAACCCAAAGCTTTGTGCATGCTAGGCAAATGCTATCAACCGAGCCATGTTCTCAGCGCCCCAACACTGTTTTGGAAAAAAATTTATGTGCATGAGTGTTGTGCTTGCATGTTCCTAAGTATACCCGCGTCCTGCAATGTCCATGGAGGCCAGAAGAGGGCAACAGGTCTCCTGGAACTGGAGTTTCAGATGGTTGTGAGCCACTGTGTGGGTGCTGGAAACTGAACCTAGGTCCTCTGTAAGAGCAGCCAGTGAACCACTGGGCCATCTCTCTATACTGTCCCCAACACCTTTCTGACATAGTTCCTTGCTAAGTACCTTGAACGTGGGTCAGTCTTCCTGCCTCAGTCTCCTGAGTTCAGGTGTATACCACCATGCCTGGCTCTGGCTGTTTATTATATTTATTTACTCAGATGAGTTGAGAATCTGAGACAGACTTCCCTGAACTCTGGAGGACCTTAAATCCAGGAAGAAGACACAGAAAGGAGGATCATGCAAGGACAGAGGAAGTAAGGACAGTGGTCCTGGAGAGCTGGCTCAGTGGCTAACCATGCTTGTTACTCCTACAGAGAACCCAGGTTCTGTTCTCAGAGCCCACCAGCGGGTAGCTCACAACCACCTGTAACTCCCAATTCCAGAGGATCTGACACTCTCTTGGCCCCCCGAGGGCGCCTCCACAATATGGTGGTATGGTACAAATAAACTGACGCATGATTTTTTTTTGGTGGCGGGAGGGCAGGTGAGACAGGGTCTCTCTGTAGCCCCAGCTGGCCTGGAACTCCAGATGTAGACCACACCAGCCTGCATCTCACAAAGATCCACCTGCTTCTGTCTCCCCAGTGCTGGGATTAAAGGCACCACCACACCTGGCTTACATTAAAAAAATAAAAAAAAAATTAAAGAAAAACAAAACAAGGGGGATGGTGCCTAAGGAATGACACTTGTGGTTGACCTCTGACCTCTACATGCGAACACAGCAAAAACAAGGGAACTTGGGGTGTAGTTCAGTGGTAGAACACTTGCCTAGGTTATACAGGGCCCTGGGTTTCATCTCTGGTACCAAAAACTAAATAAGCAAATAAGAACTTTAAAATGTGTGTGTGTGTTGGGGGGGTTGTTATTGTTTTGATCTTTTTGAGACAGAGTCTCCCTGTAGCCCCAGCTGGCCTGGAACTCCCTATGTAGACCAGGCTGGCCTTGAACTCACAGAGATCCGCCTCCCTCTGCCTCCTGAGTGCTGTGTTGGTGCATCTTATATACTCTAATGGCAGGATCATTTCCAAACCCCACACAGAGGCAGAGGAATGAAAGGGGGAGGGGCATACACACACACACAACACACCCCATAATCAGGGCAAAGTTTAGAACTGCTTCCCCTAGTCCAGAAAGAAAGGGGACTTTATTAGCTCTTGGAGAATATCAACACTATTTGTAGGGATGTGTTTACCCTTCAGAGAAGCAAACTTTTCAAACCCCAGGCAGTTCTTTGCTTATAGGTGTGGCCACTGTGAAAGGCCAGCTATTAGCCTGCAGCCCAAGGTTTATCTGTTCAAGACCTAAAGGCCTGTGGGAGAAGCAGTGGGGACCTTGTCCCCAGTAATGACACCGCTTTTCAGTCTCTCACAGTACAAAGTACTTCCACCTGGAGGGGCCTAATGCCAACCCAAGCCACAGGCTCCCTCCCTGCCATCCAAACCCTGTGTAATAGACTGATGATTCTGCTAGCTTGCAGCTTGGGGCTGGAAACTGCCTTGCATAGGGTTTGTTTGCTCCACACGCATTTTTAATTAGAGATTTCACTCCAGCGTCCTGCTTGGTCAAAGGGCCCACAGGACCGCCCTGAGGCCCACACACCTGTGTCCACTGCCTGGCCCTGCCTTTGGGAGTTTTCCAACTCAATGAGTTTCTTAAGAGCAATCCTTGTATATCCTGTGTCAGCCCCAAGGGATCTGATTAAAGATGTAAATTTTAGCCAGGCATGATGGCCCACATCTTTAACTCCAGTGCTGGGGAGGCACAGGCAGGTGGATCTCTGTGAGTTTGAGGCTAGCCTCATCTACATAAAATACCAGACCAGCTAAGGCTACATAATGAGACCCTGTCTCAAAAGCAAACAAGCAAACAAAACATTCTGTGCTGGGGGTGTAGCTCAGTTGGTAGCACATAGGTAGAGCTCTTTAGCATGCAGGAGGCCCTGGGTTGGATCCCCAGCACTGCATAAACTGGGCGTGGTAGCACATGCGTGTAATCCCAGGTGGAGGCAGGAGTAGCAGGAGTTCAAGGCTTTCCTTAGCTACATAGCAAGTTCAAAGCCAGCTGGAGATCCTGTATCCAGAAGTGGTGGCGGTCCGGGGAAGGTAGGGAGATGGCTCAGTGGGTAAAAGCGCTTGCTGCACCAGCATGAGGACCCAGGTTCAAATCCCCAGCACACACATAAAAGCCAGGCATGGCCTAGCACACCTGCAATCCCAGCACTGGAGGTGAGTGGAGACAGGAAGATTGCTGGGGCTTGCTGGCTACCAGCCTAGCCAAAATACAGTGAGCTCCAAGTTTAGTGAGAGACCTTGTCTGGAGGGAATAAGGTAGAAAACAACAAAGGAACACTTTTAGTGGCCTCCTTCAGCCTGTGTGCACAGGTGTGTATAACTATGCATATACATGCACGCATACACACACACACATACACAAACACACACACACACACAGAGCAGGTTCCTGGAATGGGAGGTGTAGTGGTGGTATAGTGCATGCTTAGCATATGTGAGCCATGGATTCTCGCCTCAAACTTCCACAAACTGCAAATTCCCAGACCCCACTCCCCAAAATACAGGAGATTCCCTGTATCTCAGGAAATTCTTAGTTTCCACGAGAGCCCCTGTGATCCATGAGTGTTTCTAAGCCCTCCCCTAATCTGCTGGGCCCTGCCTTTTGGGGTACATCTTCCCTCTCCTCCCAGTTCCTCCCTGTGGACAGTATTGGGGTCTGGCTTCCAGCCTTGGCTCTCACCTCATGCAGGGCTTATCTGGAAAGCTGGGGTGTTTTGTCTCCCCGTTTCACAAGTGACAAAGTTGAGGCCCAGAGTCCTGCTCATTCACATAAGACTTCAGTGATGGGCCCAGAACAGAAGCCTGAGCCTCCTAAGATATTCTACAAACTGTGCTAGCCATCTGTGCCTCACCTTCACCTCTGCCTCCTGGCTTCTGACGATCTGCAGCAAGCAGCCCAGCCCTATACCCACCAGGACATCTGCAGCCGGCTCAGGAAACTTCTATGAAGTCAAAGACCCTCTGTCCCTTAGGAAAGCTGGAGATGGGCTGGCAGGAGGCCAAGGACATCTCTAGGGCACATTCCAGGCTTCCTGCTTTCCATCACCCTGAGGGTCAGGAGAGGCCCCAGCCTAAAGCTGAAAGATGGTCCTGATGAGCCAGGAATTTTCCGGCCAAGGGCCCTGGAAATGACAAACAGTAGGTGGAGCCCTAGGTGTCTGTGTTGCTGACCTGCACTGCCCAGATACTGTCATCTTGGATTGTAGGGATAGCCGCTCTTCACCCCGTGACTTCATGTAGCCCCACAGCCCCATGGCTGGCGAAGGCTGCCCACAGCTCTGCCGCATCTTCTATAGGTCACTGAGGGCTGGCTGAGTCTAGAGTACCCAGGACCCAGACAACAGCACAGCCACCCTGGCCTGGATGTCTAGCCCTTCTGTATCCTAACACCCCTGGCTCCACCGCCTATCTTTTAGTTTTTACTAAAAGTTTTACTTCCAAGACGGTCTGGTTAGGTAGCCTAGGGTAGCCTTGAACTTACAATCTTCCTTATTCTGCCTTCTGAGTACAGGAATTAGTCTTTTCTGTGTAAATCAGCATTGGAGGCCAACAGCCCTCAGGCAAAAGCTAGCCTACCACCAACTTTACATATCATCAGTCTTCCTAAAGATCACATGGCCTGAAGGAGAAAACCTGCCAGGTGCCAACTTGCACCATGACATGTAAGCACAAGGGAGGGTCTTTCCCACAACTCCTGATTACAACACACTGCATCTGCTAATGAGGCTACCACCTGGCAGTACCTCCTGCCAAGACTGTCACAGCAGCCCTATGAGGCTAGAATCTTAGCTCCCCATTCACAGACTGGAAGGTAAAGCCCACAGATCCCTGCCAGTCCCGAGGGTGGGACACAAATTCCACCTGTGGCTCTTAGAGCTGGGATAGCAAAGGATACTGAAGATGATACCACCGAAGCAGGCTGAAAATGCCATCCGAGGGTAGCCCTGGCGGGCCATGGTGAAATCCGAGAACGCATCTGCAGCAGAGAAGGCCCTGAGTGAGTGGCAGGCCTCCCTCAGCCCTTCTGTCACTTTCCTGCTTAGCCACAGCTACCAGTCAACAAACACTGATGAAGGCCCACAAGGTGCTGGGGTTCACAGCACACTGTAAGACAGCCCTCCCTCTGTAGTTCCTTTTACCCTACTCTCTCAGTGAGAGTAACCTTGGTATGGTGCAATACATATACCCTGCTGGACACTCGCAGTGCCTCTGTGGGCCTTAGGGAACATACACAAAGAACTGAGGTAAACAGCCAGGTTCTAGACCCGCCCCCGCCCCGCTTGCTTGGATGCTCCTATCCTGGTCAACCATACAGGGCCACAGTGGCTAAACAAGGGCATAGGTGTGTATGTGTGAAAGCCTGTGTATTACACACCCATGAACAGATTAAGCATGGATGGCTGCAAGGAACTCCACTCCATTCTAGGGAGCCACTGAGTGGGCATTAGTGGTGGCTTAGCCCATTTCATCCTAACCCAGTGATGGTCACTCCACAATCACAGTGGGCACCACATCAATCCTGAGGACACACACCCTGGATGCCCCTTCCAGATATAACTGTGGCTAGGGAAGGGAAGAATCACCCCAGAGCCACACAGTCACCTCCAATACTGTTCCCCCAGGCCAGCAATGTGAGTCCTAAGACAGTGTTGCTCAGCCGGAAGATCACACCCAGCGACCGCAAGATGTTCACCACCTCAGTAGCAGCTGCATTGATCCACAGTGCACTGGTCAGGAAGCCCAAGAAAGCAAAGATCTGTGGAGGGAAGGGCATCCTGATCAGACTCTGGCTGGTCCCCAGCAAGGCACAGCCTGGGGTCCCTGTTTATAAGATGTGGCAGCAATACCTATGATTATGCTGGGGTATGGCTCAGTTGCACAGCACATGCCTGGCAGTACCCATGAATCATGAGCAGTAAGTTAACTAGTACTTGTGTACAGTAAGTGATCAGTAAAAGGTTAGCTCAGTATTGTTTTGTGGGGAGGGTACTTTTTTTTTTTTTAAGACAAGTTCTCATGGCTTTGAACTTTCTGTGCAGCTGATGATGACCCTGAGGTTCTCATCCTCCCCCCTTACATCTTGAGTTCTGGGTTATAGGCATGTGTTACACCTAGCTTATATGGCACTGGAATGGAACCCAGATGATCCAGCACTCGGGAGGCAGAGGCTGGCAGATCTCTGTGAGTTCGAGGCCAGCCTGGTCTACATAGTGAGTTCCAGGACAGCTGGAGCTACAGGGAGACCCTGTCTCAAAAAAAAAAAAAAAAAAAAAAAAAATGAAAGCCAGGTATAGCAGCACATGCCTTTAATCCCAGAGCCAGGGGGATCTCTGAGAGATCAAGGTCAGCCTGGTCTACAAGTGAGCCGGGTGTGGTGGTGCACACCTTTAATCCCGACACTCAGGAGGCAGAGGCAGGCAGATCTCTGTAAATTCAAGGTTAGTCTGGTCTATATAGTGAGTTCTAGGACAGCTGGGGCTACAAGGAGACCCTGTCTCAAAAAGACCAAAAAAAAAAAACAAAAAAAACAACAAAAAAAAAAAACCCCAAAACCAAACAAGTAAATAAATAATGATAAACTTATCCAGGCATGGTGGCACATACCTTTAACCCTAGTACTCAGGAGGCAGAAGTAAATAGATCTCTGTGAGTTAAGGCCAGCCTGGTCGACATAGTGAGACCCCCCCCATCTAAACAAAAACAAACAGCAACAAAAAGACATTTGGGCTGAAGAAATGGCTCAGTGGTTAAGAGCACATACCGCTCTTGCCGAGGATCCGAGTTCAGTTCCTAGTACCCTTGTCAGGTGGCTCATAACTGCCTGTAACTCCAGCTCTAGGGGATCTGATGCCCTCTGCTGGGACACACACACACGTACACGTAATTTAAAATATTTTTAAGTCATATGGATAAAAAAATTAAAATCTTGGGGGCTGCGGATGTAGCTCAGTTAGTAGAATGTTCACTTAGCATTGCACAAAGCCCTGGGTTCAATTCCCAGCACTGCATAAATTAGGCATGTTTATGAACAGCTGTAATCCTAGCACTTGGGAAGTAGAAGCAAGAGGATCTATTCAAGGTCATCTTTGCCTATACAGCAAGTTTGAGGCCAGCCTGGGCTACAAGAGATCCTGTCTCAAAAACACCTAAATGAATAAATGAATAAATAAATGAATAAATAAATAAATACATAAATAAATAAATAAATAAATAAATAGCTTCAGTAAAGTTTTGGGGGAAAAAAATCTTTTGACAAATCACCTGAAAATCACAGAGATACCTGGAGGCTGGAAAGAAGACAAATCCCACAGACAAGACTGGACATTCCGGATGTGAGCGTGGGAATCTGGCTGCTTCCTAAGAAAACAGCCTGGATTTCCTCAGAGTTAAACACACAGTTACCATGGACCAGATGACTCCACTCCCAGGAATGCACACAAGGAACTGAAAACATATTTCTACACTGAACTTTTACCCAAACATTTATAATAGCCAAACAACCAAAGCAAAGGGAATGCGGGCCACAGAGGCCACAGAAATGGTGGTGGGACCCAGATGGAGGAGGCTGGGGGTGGGGATGCTTGCCTGGCAGGTGCCAACCCAATGTGGTGGCCCTCATCAGAACAGAAGCAACAGGGATGACCCACAGAAACAGGACTGTCAAAGAGCCAGACACAAAAGGACACATTCTACTACGATGCTGTGACACCAGTGTCTGGAAGGGAGGTGGGAGCAGCGATACACCTGTCATCCCAGCTCTGCAGAGGAGGCTGAGGCAAGAGGATCTCAAGTTCAAGGCCAGCATAGGCTACATGGCAAGGCACTGTCTCAGAACCAGTGTTGGAGAGATGGTTCAGTGGTTAAGGGAGGCTACTGCTCTTCCTGAGGTCCCAAGTTTGGTTCCCAGGACCCATATCACAGGCAGCACAGAACCCCTACAACTCCAGCTCCAGGGAATATGATGCCCTCTTCTGCTGGTACACACATGCACACACACACACACACACACACACAAATAAGTAAAAAAAAAAATCCTTTTTTTACAAAAGAGGAGGGGCTGGAGAAATGGCTCAGTGGCTGAAAGCAGTGGCTACTCTTGCAAAGGACCTGGGGTTCATTTCCTAGTACCCACGTGATGGCTCACAACTATCCATAACTTCAGTTCCAAGGGATCTGACACCTTCTTCTAGCCTCTGCAGACATTGCACATACATGGTGCACTTACATACATGCAGGCAAAACATTCATATACATAAAATAATTATCTTTTAAAACAAGAAAGCCAGGTATGGTGGTACATGCCTTTAATGCCAGCACTGAGGAGGCAAAGGCAGGCAGATCTCTGTGAGATTGAAGCCAGCCTGGTCTACATAGTGAGTTCCAGACCAGCTGGAGCTACAGGGAGATCCTGTCTCAAAACAAAACAAAACATAAAAAAAGAAAGAAAAGGGCTGGGGCTACAGCTCAGCGGTGTGCTAGTATGTGGGAAGATCTAGGCTCAATCCCAAGCACAGGAAGGAAGGAGGGGGGAGGACAGGAAGGAGGGAGGAAGAACTGGGTTAAAGATGGCTCAGTAGTTAAAGCACTTGCTGCCAAGCCTGACAACCTGAGTTCAATCCTCAGAATCAACATGGTGGAAGGAAAGAACCAACTTCCACAAGCTATCTTCTGCCCAGGCTGCCTGCCCAAGACCTGGGGTTCTTACCCAATGAAGTCTAGGAGGCTGTCTATTGGAAGTGGCAAAAAAGGTCACCGAGGCCAGGGCTGTGCCCACGATCACTACCACAGCCCAGACGGGAAGGAGGCCGCCGATCTCATAGACACCATCTGCAGGACAAGAAGACAAGAAAGGGGGTTAGGGTCTTGGCAGCCACAGCTCCCCATGCTCACACCTCCTCCTGCCCAGAGTGAGACCCAGTGATAAGACCCACTAAACATCACTGTGCTCCTAGGAGGTGTCTAGCCCCACCCAGCATATCAGAGGGACAGAAAAGTTAGACATATAGCCTCCCCCCCCCAATCATTTGAAAGAAAAGACAACATGGAAAGCTAAACTTTCCAGCCTTTGGTTGTGAAAATACACTCTCCACCTTTACCATCTGTCACCTCCATAGCAGACATCCCTAATCAATTGCAGCACTTCTGTCCAGCTGAACTTCAAGGCAGCACCCCACAGCCAGGCATCACCAATTGCTTTGTGGGTGAACCAGACAGTCAAACCCAACCTTGAAGAGCTGGGGTGCAACTCAGAGTGCTTGCCTAGCATGCATGGATTGTGAGGTTAAATCCCTGCTACTACCAAAAAAATCCATATGCACACACATACCAGTGAAACATATATATATATATACACACATATATATATATATACACACACACATACATACACACACACACATATATATATACACACATACATATATATAGTCATAGAGACTTCTGTCCCTCCTGTCCCTCTTTGCCTCTCAAATGTCAGTGGGCATAAAAAGGGAGCTGAAGCTGGGCATGGTGGCGCACGCCTTTAATCCCAGCACTCAGGAGGCAGAGGCAGGTGGATCTCTGTGAGTTCAAGGCCAGCCTGGTCTACATAGCAAGTTCCAGGACAGCTTGGAGCTATAGGGAGACCCTGTCTCAAAAAAAGACCAAAAAAAAAAAAGGAGCTGAATGGGTGGGAAGGAATCAGCTTGGGGGCCAGGTAGCTCAGGCAGGTCTCAGAGGCCTCCAAAGACTCCAAAGAGAGCCATGGGTGTGGACTTTCCCTGAGGGGTACTAGGGCCAGGTGCAGTGGCATGTCTTTGATCCCAGTGCTCAGGAGGCAGAGGCAAGTGGACCTCTGTAAGTTCAAAGCCAGCCTGGTCTACCTAGCAAGTTCCAGGCCAGCTGGGGCTGCATAGAGAGACCCTGTCTCAAAACAAACAACAACAAAAAGACAACCAAGAGGTACTGAGGATCCAACAAGCTCTTTGAGTGGGGAAGTGACCATAGCATGCAATAAATGGTACATGAAGCCTGGAGTTCCATCCCCAGCACCACATAAACCAGGCATGGTGGTACATGCCTGTCATCCCAGCACACAGGAGGTACAGACAGGAAGATCCAGAGTTTATGGTCAGCCTCCTACATAGTGAGTTCAAGGCCAGCCTGGGCTACATGCTGAAACTGTCTGGAAAAAGCAAAGTGAGGCGCCTTTGCCCTCAGACCCCCACCTTACCTGTCCAGGTTGAGGAGAGGAGCCAGATGACAGCAAAATGAGCAGCATGAGTTACTTAAGTCAGACAACAGGAAAAAAGAAAGTGGCAGGATTCAGAAGGGCCTGACAAGTCTGGGTGTCTCCTCAGCCAGAACAAGGCAGAAATGAGATGAAGGATGGGAAACACAGGGAGGAGGACCAGTAAGTCACTAACGGGACAGGAGCCTGGTCCAAATTACCCCACGGGCAATGATACAAGCTGCATGCATCCACAGGGGAAGCCACCTCTGGGCTCCAGGCAGTTGTTCCCTCAGGACCATGGCTCATCCTCAAGATGATAAATCTAGAATTTGGTGTGAAATCTCCCCTGTTCTATAAAATTTTTTGTTACTAGTTGTATTGGGCATGGACCCCAAGGCCTTTAGCATGCTAAGCAAGTGTCCATCTCTGAGCCATGCCCCCAGCGCTCCTCAGTTTTGAGGGAGACAAGGCTGGACTTAGCCTGAGGGCCACCTGTTTATAGTTCCAACTGTAGCCTGCAGGGTTGGGCCACTGATCAGAGAGGACCCATGGGTAAGTAAGCAGTTAACACCAGCACATATAAAGCGCCTGCTGCATGCCACCAGCATATATGAAGTGCCTGCTACATGCTCCAGTTTCTGCTTTGAGGAGACTAGAGATGGGAGGAGGAAGAACGCTGGGATTCTGGAGGGGGAGGGGGATGACTCACAGGTCCCTGACTGCAGGGTGAGGACTAGGACCAGGGGGCTAATGACCAGCTGCAGACAGTTGAGTGGCCGCTTCCAGTTCCCATCCTCCTGGTCCGGGTCCACAACGGGCACTGTGAGCAGCAGCAGAAACTCCACAGGCAGCTGGGGGAGGAAAGGAAGGTGTCAGTAGAGGGACTGCAGTGGGGGTGCAGCTGCTGTGGGGTGCTTTGTTGCTGGGGAGCACCCAGAAGGCAGGCTGGCTCCGCCTGCACACTGTCCCCACAGCAGTGTCTGTAGAGACAACATGTACTCATTCCCTAAGGCCCTGGGGGACAGAAGGTCAAGGTGTGCAGGTTCCCTGCTTCTTCCCGCCTGTGCTCTGCGGCCCTGGGCCCGCACCACTCACCAAGGCTGTGTACTCAAGGCTCATCTGACTGAACCTTTCTACTCCCACCAGGAAGCCTGGTGTTCTGTCTCCATCTCACATCCCCAAAGTCCCCTCTGCCCAGTCAGGCAAAACATGTAGGGCTCCCTGGGGTTAAGACATGGGTGTCTCTAGGGACCATTAGTCACCCAGCACAGTACCTCACCTGCTCATCCTGATAAAAAGCCCTATGAATAGGAACTACAATGATATAATATGGAAGCAGAGGAAGCTGTCCAAAGCCACACAGAAAGGTCTGGGCAGCTGGGATTCAAGCCAGCCCCGTGTGCTAGGTCCAGATCTAAATACAGGTGTAGGTACTTATTCATACTAAGTGCTGCACTCCACATACATCATCCCAGAAATCACTGTGCCCTCCCAGTCCCCTGCTGTGGAGGAACTGAACACCCCATCCTTTGCCCTGTGACTGACTAGTCTGCAATAGTGTCTCTCCATCCCCTGATGTTGAAATTGACCACATGACTCATCTTGGCCAGGGTGCTGTTGGCAAGGCTGGCCTAAACAGAGGCTTTGGGTGTCCTTATGTGTGGTTTTCGGTGGCCTCTATGAAGAGAATGCCCCAGCTACTCCTGGTCTCCAAATGATAAACAGAGCAGATCTGAACCAAACAACCTACCACAGCCTAAGTCATTACTCTACCACCCTTAAGTTTATGAATGAGAAAAAAAATACTACTGTCAAAAGTGAATGAGATTTGAGGGATGTTTGTTACACAGCATGACTGTAGCAATACATTACTAACACAGTCACTATATCACCACCACCATCCCTTTTTTGAGACAGGGGCTCAGGTATCACCCTCACTATGTACCTTGAACTCCTGATCCTCTTGCCTCTACCTCCCCAGGGCTGAGATGAATGCACCATCATGCCCAGTTTACATGGTGCTGGGGTGGAACTCAGGGCTTTGTGCATATTAGGCAAGGACTCCACCACCTGGGGTTCACCCTGAGTCCCACAGAGGAAACTGGGGCTCAGAGGTACCCAGAACCATGGTAGTTATAAACATGGTTCATTCCTTATCCCTGGGACTCAGGAGTCCTACAATCTCTGCAGGCTGGAGGTTCCCCATTACCCATTAGGAGCTGGTAAGGGCTGAGGTGTGATGCCTGATTTTGGGGGTGGCTGTACTCCTCAGCATGGTCTGGGGACCTCTCCTAGGTATTCCTGTCCCGGTTGGCTACTTTTCTACCTCCATTGAGGGCAAAGCTCTGGGTCAGGCCACCAGCTGAGCTTGAAGACTCAGTTTTCCCATCAGGTCCCAGGCTGTCCATTCAAAGGGAGTTCCAGTGGACCTAACCCTCCACTTGCAAGATCACGGTGTACTATGGTCAGGAGGTTGAGGGTCTGGATCCTGGGTCCCCTCATACCTTGGCCACCTTCAGGAGTCTCAAGGACACTGGTTGGGTTCTCCACTTCCTGTAATCCAGGGGGTTCAGGGCCCGGACCAGGATCTGAGCAGTGGTCTCCTGGCCCGAAAACAGTGGTCGGTACTCATCCCCTATGTACATGGGGAAGGATGGATGTGGCCATGCTTGGCTTGTCTCAGGGAGGCCTGATCCCTCTGCCTCCCCCTTCCTCCCTGCCTGTAAGAGGACAAGTGAGCCCCACAGCTCAGATGAGGGAGGCTGGTCTCCTGGGGTCCCTAGCCCCACAGATGAAGGGCCCAGGGCTTACCATAGTCATAACTGTTGGTATTGGAAGACACCTGATCCTCTTCTGAATCCGACAACATCTCTGAGGGAAGCAGTGGAGGGGGGTGGGGGTGGCTAACACTCCCAGTGACAGCCCAGAACCCTCTGGAACAGTGCTGAACAGTGGTCACCTCTGGGACAGGGCAGATTTAACAAGCAAGTGTCCAGGCCTTCCCTCCCCCTCATTCCCTCCCTCCCTCCTTTCTTCTTTGACAGGATCTTATGTAGCCCAGGATAGCCCCAAACTATGTAGCCAAGGGTGACTATGAGAGTCTAATCTTCTGCCTCCACCTCCCCAGTCCTGGGATTACAGGTATGTGTCACCCAGCCCAGTTTATGCAGTGCCAGGAATCACACCCAGGCCTTCGTGCATGCTAGGCAAGCACTCTACCACCCAGCCTCCACTCATTTCTGTAGTGTTGAGGCTGGAACCCAGGACCTCGAGCATGCTAGGCACACACTCTGTCTGAGCCCTACCTCAAGCCCTTTACTTTAGATTTCTCAGCAGTGGCTATGCATGCTTAGAAATTCCTACAGTGAGAATGTGACTCACAGAACATTCTTAGATCAGGCTGTGGTATCTGAAGTTCAATATAGTGTGTGAGCACGTGGCTCATGGACTGACTGCTACACTTGCTTTTATTCTCTCTTTTTCTTGTTATGTAGCCCAAGCTAGCCTAGAACACTTTATTAATATTATCACACTTATTTAGTGTGTAAAAGTGCACGTGCGCACAAGACACATCACACATGTGGAGGTCAGAGGACTGCTTGCAGGAATCGGTTCTCTCTTTCTACCATGTGGGTCCTTGGGATCGCACTCAGGTCATCAAGCTAAGCCATCTCTCTGGCCCTAGCCTAGAGCTCTTGATACTCCTGCCCCTGCCTCCCTTGTGCTGGGTTACAGGTGTATGTCAGCACATACAACAAATGACTGAAATTCTTGCTTTGTCTGGAATTTTCTTCTATATTCTCGCTCTCACTGGGCCTCCCTCTAGAGCAGCCTGGGAGGAACATGACCTTCTAGGGGCAGGGGCAGGTCTAGTCCTGGTTCTGTATCTCTGTGACCTTGGCCCCTCTGAGAGTCACTCCCCTTGCCACTCCAGCCCCCCAAGCTTCAACAGGTCTGTAGACACTGCAGGGTGGCAGGTTGTGAATTCTGACAGCTTGGTTAGCAGAGAGAGGAAAAACCCCGCAGACTTCCTATATCAGCACCCCCAGTTCCTGCTCTGTGCCAGAAATGAGACCACCCTGCTCTCTTTGGGCTTGCAGCCTCACAGACAGGCTTTACACAAACTGACAGCAGAGTGGCTTGCAGGCTCCCAGGTGCTCCCTCACACCAGTTGGGGCAGGGTCTGAGACCTAGTGCTGGAGCCCTGACTCTGCCTGCTTCCAGCTCCTTCACCTTGGGAAGGCTTAGTTTCTCCCTGGGTCTGTTTCTTCCCCATAAAAGGAAGACATAAGAGTCTCTACCCAAGGGCTGGAGAGATGGCTCAGTGGTTAAGAGCACTGGCTACTCCTACAGAGGACCTGGGTTCAGTTCCCAGTATCCACATGGCAGCTAACAACTGTTTGCAAAACCAGTTCCAGGGGATACAACACCTTTTCTGGCCTATGTGGTCATTGCATACACAGGGGCACAGGTGCAGGCAAAACACATATACACATAAAATAAAAATGAATAAATAAAAACAATTTTTTTGGTCTTTTTGAGACAAGCTCTCCCTGTAGCCCCAGCTGTACTGGAACTCACTATGTAGACCAGGCTGGCCTTGAACAAAGAGATCTGCCTGCTTCTGCCTCCCAAGTGCTGGGATTAAAGGCGTGCGCCACCACGCCCCCCCAAAAAAAACCAAAAAACAAAAAACAATTTTTTCAAAAGTCTCCACTCCAAAAGAATGTCACCAAAGGAAAGGAATCAAATGAGGGGCACACCCGACATGGTAGGCACTGGAGTCCTGTGTGCTTTCCAAATCTAATTGTGCTCTGTCTGCTTCTGCCTCCCAAGTGCTGGGATTAAAGGCGTGCGCCACCACGCCCCCCCAAAAAAAACCAAAAAACAAAAAACAATTTTTTCAAAAGTCTCCACTCCAAAAGAATGTCACCAAAGGAAAGGAATCAAATGAGGGGCACACCCGACATGGTAGGCACTGGAGTCCTGTGTGCTTTCCAAATCTAATTGTGCTCTGTGCAGATGTTTGTGAGCATATGTTTGCATGTGTGCTGTGTGTCTATGTCTGCTGTGTGTGCATTGCTTGTGTGTATTTCATATTGCTATGTATTTCACGTGTGTATTTGTGTATTCTGTATTTGTGTGCTGTGTATTTTGTATGTGTTGTACACATATGCTCACATATTGGTGTGTGCTTGCATATCTGTGTTGTGCATTTGCATGCATTTGTGCTGTACACATGTGCATGTATCTGTGTGCTGGGTAACCTGCATCCTCTCCATGGACACTGTAGCCTGTGGCAAGCCGGCTCTTTTGAGACCAGCCCTGGGCCCTGGTAGTGGCTGGGAGGCCTGTCACCCTGGACCAGCAGGATCTGAGCCTCAACAGCACAAACTGGAAGACGAAGGTGGCCTGGGCAGAATGAGCGAAGAGGAGTTGGGTCAGGCAGAGTCAAGACTGGCCAAAGGGACATGAGGCAGCAGGGAAGGACACAGAGGCACACACTCCCCTCTTCCCTCTCGGGGACTCCTCTCAGACTCCTCACCTGGTGTTCCAGGCATAGAGTAGACCCGAGACCTGTTCCTCTGCCATTGGTAGATCCAGGTGCAGAGGATCACTGTGGCCACATAGAACACATACAGGCCCAGGTAACCTGCAGGCAGGGGTAGAGGCCATGGTGTCCTGGCTGAGTGCACAAGAACATGGCTGCCAGTCCCATGCTGTGCATGTTAGTGGTAGCTGCGTGTGTCAGCCTAGCCCAGCCAATGTGGTGAGCCCCACCTTCCTCCTACCTTCCTAGGCCCAATGCCAACCTGCTGTGGGCCCCCAGACACCACAGAGGAAGTCACAGCAGTAGGGGAGTCTGGGGTGAGATCTCTGCCTCCCTGTTGGGTTGCCCCGTCTCTGGCAGGCAGGGCATGTCCTTCCCATGGCTGGAGGGGTGCTGGGTGGTTCCAGCTCTAGCAGCTCTGCTGGGCTTCAGTTCCCTGATCTCTGCCCTCTTGCCATGGGGACCCAGGTGGTTAACAGCTCCCTCCATGGTTGGTCTCTGGACCCGATCCTCACATTTGTCCCCCTTAATCAGAATGGACTGAGCTTTCTGTGGGGCCCTTGGGTCACAATTCTCATCCTCTCTGAACCTCACATTCTGAAAGCAGCTGGGCCTCGCCTCCCTTTGCTAATCTGAACTTGTTTGCTCTGGCTTGACTTGACTTGAGTAGTTAAGTGCCCCAATGCTCACCCAGGGCCCATGCCAGCGTGACCCTGCCGAGGTAGAGTGCAGTGAAGGTCAGGAACACAGCCACCATGTAGAATGTGATGTCCCTCAGGAAGGGCCTGGAGGCTGCCACAAAGGGGCGCAGGATGGTGATGCCTCCAGCCACCACAGTGGTGACCAGAACACCGGCGCCTGGAGGGCAGCAGGCCAGAACTCAGAGGCTGACACACCCAGGGGCCCCCATCCCCAGCACCCCAGTGACCACCCCCCCAACTCTCCCAGGGACTCTCAACCCTTCTGGGCTGTGCTCACCAAACAGAGCCCCAATGGCCAGGCCAGCAGTGCGTGGGTCTGAGAAAGCCACCAGGGCGCTGAAAATATCTGGGGCACCATTCCCAAAGGCCAGGAAAGTGACACCATGGGGGTGAGTCAAGGGGGCTCTGTGCAAGGCAGTTCCAGGGCCCAGAGCCACCACCCTGTACCCTGGCTTCCCTGGACCACCCTCTCCCTTCAGGGAGCTGAACCAAAGGATACTGCCACGTTGTGGGAGAGCTTGAGGCTGGTGGAGATGGCTGACAAATTAGGGCAGAAGCTAGGAAGGAAAAGGCAGTGTTAAGGGCTGGGACAGAGAGGAGCTCAGTTGGTAAAGTGCGTGGCATGACAGCATGATCCATCCCCAGGATCTGTGTGAAAAAGCTGTGCTTGTAATCTCAGTGCTGGGGAGGCAGAGATGGGTGATCCCTGGGGTTGACTGACCAGCCAGGCTAGCCTAATCAGTGAACTCCAGGGTTGACTGACCAGCCAGGCTAGCCTAATCAGTGAACTCCGGGGTTGACTGACCAGCCAGGCTAGCCTAATCAGTGAACTGCCTGTCTCAAAAAAGGAGGATGGGTATCTGAGGAGGTGCACCTGGGGTTGACCTATGGCCTCCCTCCACACGTGTGTGCATACTCATGCAGGTGCACTCACCCAAGAACACACATACATTTACACACACACAGCCAGGAGTCAGCACTTCCAGTGCAGACCCTGTCCTATCCTTCCCCCAAACCAGGTCACAGGATGTTAGCTTTTGGGATTGCTTTCCCATCTATAAGCAGGACATGAGCCCAGGCCAAACTCACAACTTTGCTGCGGTGACTCCAAGAATCAGAAAGAGGTAAAGTAGCCAGAAAACCTGGTCGGGGCCAGAAAGGGAGAGAGAGTTAAGTCTTTCCTGAGCCACCTGCCCATCACTAGGTCCAGGAGACACAGACTCACATAGAGGGTGATAGCCAGAGGGAGGAGATTCGGAGGGAAGTGGCAGAAGATGCCTTCCAGGTAGTCCAGGTAGCCCCCATCACTGCGGCAGTCGGGATTCATCCGGATGAAGTCACAGCGGTCAGAAATGTTCAGACCACACACAGCACGACACTGCAAGAAAGAAAGGCAGGGCATATAGGCAACAGACCCACCAGGAGTGACCAGATGGATCCATCTAAGCAGTGGAACATCACCTTCCTTCCGCCTATCCACAACCTCCCTTGACACAAAGGTACCCACTGTGTGCTTCCATTCTTAAAAATAAACCTGTGGGCCAGTAAGATCACTCAGTAGGTAAAGGCACCTGTCATCCTAGCCCAACAACCTGAATTTAATCCCCAGGTCCCACATAGGGGAAGGAAAGAACTTGACTCTCCACATGCATGTATACACACACATACATAAATGTTTTAAAAATAGCTTGTGTTTGAAATTAACACAGCAATCCATGCATATGTTTGTTTCAAAATAAAATTATATAATATATATATATAAAATTTAGCCACACACACACACACACATATATATATATGTGTGTGTGTGTGTGTGGCTAAATTCCCTGTCTTCAATCCATGTCCATCATCTTGTTCTCCACCAATCCCATGGTGACCAGTTATTTCTGGGTTCCCTTATTAGGATATACACTTTTTTTTTTTTTTTTTTTGGTCTTTTTGAGACAGGGTCTACCTATAGCCCCAGCTGGCCTGGAACTTACTATGTAGACCAGGGTGGCTTCAAACTCACAGAGATCATCCTGCCTCTGCCTCCCAAGTGCTGGGATTAAAGGTGTGTGTCACCATGCCCAGCTCTATACACTCTTTCAAAAAAAAATTTATTTTCATTTCAAGTGTTTGATTGTATGTATGTATGTGCACCACATGTGTGCAGTGACTGCAGAGGCCAGGGCATTGGATCCCCTGGAATTAGAGTTACAGACAGTTATTAGCTGCCATGTGGGTGCTGGGAATTGAACCCAGATTCTCTGCAAGAGCAGCCAGTGCTCCTAACAGTGGAGCCCTCTCTCCAGCCCAGCCTTAGCATATACATTCACAGATACTCTATCACTCTGTTTTATAGAAAGAGGTACAACCTAAAGCTCTTGTTCCTACAATTGCTTTGACTATTATTAATATAGGTCACATATATTCATTAATAACAATAAGATGAAACTGACAAGTGACTTCAATATGCCAGATGCAGTGTTAGGAGCTTAAAAATCTACCCATGAACCCCATGTGGCAGAATAGAGTCAAGTCATTATGAGGAAGCTAAGGCAAGTCACAGCTCCTCATAGGGGCAGAATCATTGGAAACCTGGCACCCAGACACTCTACAGAGCTCTCTCGCTCGATCGCTCTCTCTTTTCCCTCCCACCCCCTCCCTCCTTCCTTCCCTCCTTCCTTTCTTTCTCGATCTCTCTCTCTTTTTTTTTTTTTTTGGCAGTACTAGGGTTTGAACCTAGGACCTCAGACATGCAGGGCCAGGGCAAAGGTTCTACCATTGGGCTACACAACCTGTCTTAGCCAAACAGAACCTTAATTCTGCCAAACCCCCAAAACAAAATTAAGTAATGAACTTAAAACCCTCACCCATTTTTCTAAGTTACCAAAAATATAACTTCAAATTCTGTATGTATGACAAAATATTTCAAAAAATTTTTATAATCTGCCAACTTGATTTCCATGCTTATTACTAGAATATTAACCCATCTTACTTACCCTATGTTAGTATAGCTTAATGTTAAAGCAAAGCACTGAAAATGCTTAGATGGATTCTCTAATTCATTTCCCTCTTTTCCAAAAAAAATTTTATTACATTTTATTTATTTACATGTGCATGTGTCCATAAGTGTCCGTACCTGGTGCACACGTGGGGGGTCAGAGGACAACTTGCAGGAGTCAATTCTCTCCTTCCACCATGTGGACTGGGGACTGAACTCAGGTTGCCAGACTTGGCAGCAAGTACCTTTACCCACTGCGCCATCTTGCAGGCCCCTTGTGGTATTACTAAGCCACATTACAGTTATACCTGAATAAATAATCAGTCTGACTCTTAGCATTAGTTTTTAAAACCAAGAGTAGGCCCGAAATCTCAAAATCAATTCTTTCAGATTTCTCACGGAGCTGTGCTCCCCAGCAGGGATCATCCATCCTTTTATTCAGTTTCTCCAGCATGAAGTGGGGAACTACAAGCTTAGATCTACCCTTATCTTATCGGAGTATCTTGCCCTTTGACCCCTAGGCCTAAAAATATTTCATACAATATCAAGCAGACTCCTCAATTATTCTCACGGTCTTCAATGAGGACACAAATATGAATATGTTGCTTCCATATGCCTTGATATGCTAATTTAAACCACATCCATTCACTTGGGTAGAGGGCGAAGTGGGTCCCCCCAGGGATCAAGGTCAGGTGCCCAGGTCACAAGAGGACATGGCAAAGTGCACTTGTTTACATTATAAACAGTAGCTTTTTGGTATAAGGTTAGGTAAACATCATTAGTCCAGATTCTGTCCATACTGTAAGTCATTCCTATAGCCCTGGCTTGTTTGGGGAGGAGGGTTGTTTGTTGGTTTGGTTTGGTTTTTTGAGACAAGGTTTCCCTGTAGATGCAGCTGGCCTGGACTCACTATATAAACCAGGCTGGCCTCAATCTCACAAAGATCTGCCTGCCTCTGTCTCCCAAGTGCTAGGACTAAATGTGTGCACCACCATGCCCAGCTGTAGTTTAAATTTTTAAAGTCACATTCTTCAGAGTATGTACGTGTATATACATGTGTGTGTGTATACGTGTGTGTGTGTGTGTGTGTGTGTGTGTGTGTGTGTAGACAGCATCTCGCCTTCTAACCCTGTAGCCCAGGCAGGCCTCTAACTCGAGATTCTCCTCTCTCCACCTCCCCAGTGCTGGGATTACTTGACAAGCCACTGCTCTTAGTTTGGTTTAAATCTATCTTGCCATGCTACCCTGGCTGACCTGGAACTCCATATATAGCCCAAGGTGGCCACAAACTCCTGGCAATCCTTTTGCCTCAGCCTCCCAAGTGCTGGGTTTATAGAAGTGCATCTGGGATTCCAGGGCCAGGCAAGGCCCTGTGACCCTCGCTGCCCTGTCTCGTCATGATCTTTCTGACATCGCAGGGAGGTTTCCCTAGGAGAAGTACATGGAGTGACTCACTGGGCTAACAGTGAGCTTCCTCACACATGACTCCCTCCCTGCACATGTGAGGATATTTTCTCTGGGAAAATTCTGAAGTGAAAGTGCTGATTCATGTTACAGGATGGGCTGGGGCCTCTCTAGAAGCAGACCAGAGAGAAACCAGGATCTCCAAGTGCTGTGTGCTGGGAAGGTGTGCAGGACACAGCAGGCATCACCTTGCTCAAGCATCACTTCCCTAGTGCATCAGAGGACACACAACAGTTTCTATTTCATGGATGTGAAACTGAGGCCCGGAAAAGGGTCAGCCTGGGGGCTGTGGTGGGACACTCCCAGTGTCCTGATGACACCAGAACAGAGTCAGCAAGTCTGGTCTTCTACAAGTGATCTCCTGAGTCACACTGCCTGCCTACACAGCCCTTGCCTGAGCAGGGCATTGTTCCTTCCCCCAGGCCCAGGCCCTCCCCAGGAGTACAGGGTAAGGATGGTACTGCTCTTGGTCTGGCCTAGAGGGTGGTCCACCTCTCCACAGACACCCTCTTTCCCTGAGTCTCTACTTCAGTCCAGGAGAAAACAGAGGACATAGACTCTGGGTGGTCAGGCTGAACAGGAAGGGCCAGCCAACTCTATGCCTTGGAACCACACAGATTACAGAAATGCTAAACCCACAGGGCCACTTGGAATTCTGGGAAGTCACATGCCCTGCTGAAAGACATCTAAGTTCTAAAGCAAAAACAACTCCTGCCTCACAGAAAGAGTCCACTGGGCCAGACAAGTGCCCCCACTGGATGTGGCCTACGGAGACAGTGTCTCACCTCACCAGAGAGACAGCTGTCTGGGTGTTGCCACCAGCTGGCTGTGTGACCTCTGGTAACCCTCTTGATGTCTCTGGGCTCTGGTTTCCTCACCCACCTATAGAGTTCTGGCTGCTGTCATCTTGGTATTACTCTGCCCTCCCTCTAAGGGAGACTGAGGTGGTAAGAGTCCCCGATTCCACCAAGAGGCCAAATAACTAGAAGGTGAGAACACTTCAAAGCCCTTTCCACTTAGTCAGCACCCACCCACCAGAAAAGTCCTGGAAAGCCCTGGGCTTCTGTGCTGAGATTCCAGCCCCCCACCCCACGCCAGTCTGAGCCTATGCATCTGAGTGCACGCGCACGTGTGCACAGTCACAAGCATTCAGCCATCCTTGATGGCTGTCCTCAGCTGTTGGTCCTAATAGTGTTCACATCCCAATGCCCAGGACCCACGAACTGCAGATGTGGCTGAATGAGGACCTGGAGTTGGGTTTCTCTGAGATTAGCCGATGGATCCGAGGTCCTCTCAAGGGTCTACATAAAAGGGTGACAGGAAGGGTCAAAACCAGGGTATTTGCTGTGAAGGCCAAGTCTGGTAGAGGGGGAGACAGGGAGACTGGACACAGAGGAAGGGCCTTGAGCCCACGCAGCACAGCTGCTGGAAGCTAGAGAGGCACAGTGACCACCTCAGGAAGGGCCAACCCTATCCGCATCTTCATTTAAGTTCTGTGAGACTCACTTAGGCTCTGAGTTCCAGAGCCATAAGGCAGCCAATTTGTGGGGTTTTTGTTGTTGTTGATGGTTTTGTTGTTTTGAGACCCGGTACATGTAGCCCAAGCTGGCTTAGAACTCATGATCTACCTGCCTCCACCTTCCAAGTGCTGACGTGCACCACCACAGCCAGGATCTGTGTTGTTTTGAGCTTATAGCAATTTGCTCCAGCAGTAATGTAAAGCGCTGGGCTGCAGGGATGGCTCAGCTGGCAAAGGTGCTTGGCATCAAGCCTGATGACTACTGAGCTCGATCTCCGGGACCCACATGATGGAGGGGAAACTGACTCCTGTAAGTGAACTCTGATCTCTACAGGTGGGCTGCGGCATGCAGGCCCACATATACAAATAAATAAATGAAATAAAATTTTAAAAAGGGAGCTACTACAGGGATCTTGAATAGACACTGTAACACCTTCCACCTCTCAGCTCTAAGAGATCCACTACCCATGTGATCTTGGAGTGCCCCTCCACCCTGGGACCCCAAATCCACACCTGGATGGTGCAAGTTCCCAAACAGGTTCTACTGCCTTCTAAGGCAGGCATTCCTGTGTCACTAGGATCCTGGGCCAGCTGCCTCTCTGTTTTCTGCCTCATGACAACCATCAAATCACAGCCCTCCTCCACTCCATATCCCTGTGTGGCTCCCATTTGACTCTGAGTGACAGCTCAAGCCTGCTCCCAGGCTGCTGTTCTCTCTCCTGCCCCTGTGGGTCTCCCACCTCCCACAGCCCACAGATCTCCCTCACTCAGTAATCCAGTCACAGGGTGAAAAACACCACCCTGTCCTTGCCCCAGGACATCTGTACCTCTGTCTTTTAGCCAGATCTTCCCAATGCTAGGTGAGAAGAGGCAAGGTCACTGGCCCTCCCCATTTCCCTACCACATCAGCATTCCATTCCCTGCCTTACTCTGAGGAATGAAGTTACCCTTCCAGTTTGTTTCCCAGCTGGCTTCCTGAGCAGCAGAAGCTGCAGGGACGCAATGGGGCCCTATGTGCTTTGCCCAGTTCCTGCACACACTAGGTGCTCAGTAAGCATTAGCTACCCAGCATGGAAGCCTGTATCTGATCCCAGCACTCAGAAGACTGAGGCAGGAAAATTGCTATGATTTCAAGGTCAGCCTGGGCTGCAGAGTGAGTTCCAAAGCAGCCAGGGCTACAGCATGAGACCCTGTCTCAAACAAACAAGCATTTGGTGAATGAATGAAAGTTCCGGAAGAACCTTAGCTGAGGGATGGTGACCCATGCAGCCCCAGGCTCCTAGGACAGAAGAGATACCTGAACAGGAGCTGATGGGTCTATCCTGGGAGACAGCATGTGAAAGAGGAAGGTTTGGATTCATCACAAGGCAGCTACTTCCCTCACAGCCAACTTCACCTCCTGGACCCTCAGAGGTTTCATCTAGTGTACAGGGATGATAGCGCCCACCACACAGGTTTTCTGGTAAGTTTGGCATAGTGCAGGCCAAAGAATTCAGTCACTTGGGCAGATCACTTGCCACAATTGGGATCACCCAGTTTCCCGCTCAGGAGGTAGCAGCCAATTTTATAGGCACAGTAATGGTAAACTGCCTGTGCGGAGGGTGGTATGAAGACACCCTGCCCATAAACTTGGCATGGGCACCAACACTCTTGGCCCAGGTGGTCCAAGTTTGTGATGTCTACCAGAGAAAATACAAGGGGGGTGGGGAATGTGGCTCAGTGGGTAGAATTATGAGCCCAGGGTGCACGAGGCCCTGGGTTCCATCCCTAGTACCACATAAACCAATAAGGTGTGGTGGTGCATGCCTGTAATCTCTGTGAGATGGAGGCCAGCCTGGTCTACATAGTAATTTCCAGGCTAGCTGAGAAAAAAACAAACAAAATAAATAGAAAGAAAGAAAGAAAGAAAGAAAGAAAGAAAGAAAGAAAGAAAGAAAGAAGAAAGGAAGGAAGGAAGGAAAGGAAGAAGGGCTGGGAAAATGGCTCAGTGGTTAAAGCACTTGCCATGCCAGTGTAAGGACTGGAGTTTGTATCCCTAGAACCCACGTAAATGCTGGTTCAAATCCTCCTGTCATGGAACTCCGTAATAGAGGGAATGTCTCTTCTTCCTTCTGCACGTTCCATCTAACCAATTTGCTTGTCCTGTTTGCTGTGTCTCCAACACTATTCCAAATCCAATCATCCCATGTCTCCCAACCAGGAAGTTGTAGGAGCCCAACTCCAGCACTGGTCTCTCTTCTACTATCCTCTCCCCCCATCTTCCACCCTCCTCACAGAAGTCCAAGAAATTCCTTGAAGGAAGGAACAAATCAAATTTCAATATCCTTCTGCTTAAAATTCTCAGTTGGCTCCCACTTCTTACCACTCAGCCTCAGCCCGTAAGATCTTTTTTTTTTTTTTAAATACCTTTTTGAGACAGGGTCTTTCTGTAGCCCCAACTGGTCTGGAACTTGCTGTGTAGACTAGGCTGGCCATGAACTCACAGAGATTCACCTGCCTCAGCCTCCCAAGTGCTGGGACTAAAAGCATACGCCACCAGGGTCCGACAGCCAGTAAGGTCTTTAATAATCTGGTCAGTGTTATCTCTCTACCCTCCAGACTTAACCTTCTTCCTCATTCTGACCTCTTTGCTCTCCTGGGAACATATTAAGCTTGATTGTGCCTCCAGGGGTCTTTGCACATGCTATTCCATTGGCCTGGAATGCTTTTCCTTCAGATGTCTATGCTGCATGTGGCTTTCTCCCTCCTTCAAGACTTGGCTGCAAGGTGACTTGTCATAGAACACATTCATCACTGATTACCTGCTTATACCCTCTCAGACATCTCTTTACTGTTTGCAGAGCATATTGCCCCCTAAAACCTACACAGGTACTTTAGCATCTGTCTGCCCAGCTGACAGCACCATGAGGCAGGGCCATGTTCCCCAGTACATCCCAGGCCCAGCTCAGTCAGTGCTCATATACGGTAGATGCCCAAGAAATAGCTGGCAGTAAAGGCACCTCGCCCAACCCCAGCTTCCTGCCTGGGTACTCACGTCGGCCATAGGAATCTGGTTGACACCTGGGGCTGGAAGCTGGATGCTAACGTGGGCTCTTGTGGATGGGTTTCTGACCCCGGACGCTGTCTCCAGCATCAGAGATGCACAGAGCAAGCGAGGTGCCCAGTGGGGATCCAGCCATCTGCCAGCCATCAGCAACTGGGACCTGGACATCACCCTTTGCTCCCTTTCTACACCAGTTCCAAACGCCTGGCCACTCCAGTGCCTGTGGGTGGGGTGAGAGGAAGGGACAGTGTCACCAAAGATCCCAAGACCTACTAGGAGGGGCCCAGAGACCTGTTCCTGCTAAAAATCTACCCCTTCCTCACCAAGGGAAAGTCCAGATAGAGGCCCTACCCTCAAATGAACTCCTGCAGCCTATCCTGAGTCTGGACAGAGACCACGGCCTCTTCTTATTGGGCCTCTGTGGTATCTCCTGAGACCTGCCCCTCCCCACCTGCTCCAGAATATCAGGCCTGGGAGGAGCTTTGCAGATAGCTGAGGTCAGTGCAAGAAGTGGCCAGCCCTCAGAACAAGAGACACACACTTTTTTCTTCTCCCCCCACCCCCAAACTGAGGCAACCGTGAGGTGAGGACAGGTCCATCCTCATGGTCAGTGGAAGCTCCCCACAATACAGCCCTCCCTGAGTTTACAGAGGAGGAGTGGGGATCAGAGAAGTTCAGCAGGCTGCCCAGAGTCACACAGCAAAAAGGCCACAAGCCAACAGCTCTTTGGATGGAGAAATTGAGACTCAGAGGGAAGTGAATTGCTCAAGGCCAGCTAACAGCCAGTGAACAGCAGCCTGGTGGGGCGGCACTGTGGGCCACTTCCGTCAGGCCATGGAGAAAAGGGCTTCATTTTTCCCTCCAAGAAAAATACTGAGGAAAGTCTTTGGCAAGTTACCTCATTCGTTCTGTGGTGTTTTATTTTTGCAATCAGGGAAAACTAAGTATGTCAACTGTTTCGGGAGGGTAATCCTTTGCACAACCATTTCTCAACGTTCCACGGGAAGGAGGAGGACGGGACCTCAGAGAGGGAGAGGGAACCACGGTGCACTGCCCCACCTGTTGATGGGAAGACACAGCTCTTCTCTCTCTGTCGTTCCGGCAACTCCACTTGGCACCGACGTGGAGTGGAAAAACACACGGCTTCCAGTTCCGTCACTGCGCTGTCTATGTGCAGCCTGGGGGCGGTCAGGACATGTGGCCTCCGAGTCGGCATCTGAAACGGACATAAGCGCTGACCAGGAGGAGGGCCGACATCCGTGGCCCTGGCGTCCCCACCCGGAGCATCAGCGTAGGGCTCGGCTCCCCTGGCCGCCGGTTTCCTGTACTCTTTTCCACTTGAGCATTTATAGAATGCCTTCTGCATGCGGATACCAGTGCTCGCACTGGTATGGCCGGCAGACTTGGGGAGGAATGGGGACGGAACAGCGCTTTTAGGGTTGGGGACCTGGGATGTTTCGCTCACTAAGTCCCAACAGGGTGGAAAAGTTGAGTTTGGGGTGACCGGTCCTCCCGCGTCGAAGGGCAGCCCGGACCGCCCCTCTTACCTCGGGCCGTGCCTGCACGCGTGAGCTCCGAGCCTCCTCCCCGCCCAATCCCCCCGGACCGGTCCCGCGCCGTGACCTTCCGCCCCGGGAGCCACAAGCTCCCGCCGGCCTAGGGCAGCCTGGCCACGCCCATGTACGGCCCAGTCCGAAGCCCCGCCCAGGACACGGGAGGACACGCCCCTATCCTGCTTCCCGCCCAGGACACGCCCCAGAAGGCTTCGCCCCTCCCCAACTCTTAAAGACACAGGCTCCAGGGCCTGTCACTTCTGCTTTCAGGCAGCTGTTGAGATGAAAGCAAGTGGGTAAAGAAAGCAGGAGGGGAGGTCTGGAAAGATGGCTCAGCGGTTAGGAACACTGGTTGTTTTTGCAGAAGACCCGGGTTCCAATTCCAGCACCCACACGGCAGCTAACAACTGTCTATAACTCAAGTTCCAGGGGATCCGATAGCCTCTTCTGTCCTCCACGGGCAATGCACGACACAGGTGCACTTACCTACATGCAGGAATACACGCATACACATAAAATAAAAATAATAAAATATTTTTAAAAAGAAAGCAGGAGGGAGCTGTAGAGATGGCACTTGCTGTTCTTGCAGACGACAGCAGTTCAATTCCCAGCACCCATGTCAGCGGCTCACAACACCTGTAACTCCTGCTCCAGAGGATTGGATACCCTCTTTTGGCCTCTGTGGGCACATGTACATACACATAAATGAAAAATAAGATATAGTTAAGAGGAATGGCTGCTCTTACAGGGTTCGGTTCCCAGTACCCAAATGGTGGCTCACAACTGTCCATAACTCCAGTTCCAGGGGATCCGATGCCCTCTTCTGACCTCCACAGGCACCGGGCACTCACATGATACACAGATAATATTCATGCAGGCAAAACAGTCATACACAGTCAGGTGTGGTGACACCTGCCTTTAATCCCAGCACTTGGGAGGCTGAGGCAGGTGGATCTCTATAAGTTCAAGGCCAAAGTTTTGAGACCCTGTCTCAAAAAAGACCAAACAAACGAAGCAAACAAAAAACCCAACAACAACAAAATCCACCCATACACACAACATAATAAGTAAATGTTTTTGCTGTTTGTTTTTTGTTTTTTTTAAGATCATCAAGAGACCCCAGGAAGGCAGTCAGGGGGTGCAGTTGGTAGATTCTGTTTCTGACAGTGGGATGGACAGGCAAGAGTGGTGATAATGAAGAGTGACTAGAGAAATTTGGGAAAGCATGGTATGTTGGTATGCACCTGTCATCCTGGCACTCCCATGGCTGAGGCAGGAGGACCGTGAGTTTGAGGCCAGCCTGAGCTTCAGAGCATGACACTGTCTCAATATGATGATGAGGAAGATGGTGCTGATGGTGGCAGTGCTGATGGTGATGGTGATGATGATGATTTTTATTGTGGTAATGGTGGTGATGATGGTGATGATGATGATGATCCTGATGATGATGATGATTGCAATGGTGATAGTGATAATGATGGTGATGACAGTAATGATATCAGGTGGTGATGGTAGTGATGGTAGTGATGATGGTGGTTATGTTGATGATGCTGATGATTCCAGAAAACTCCAGGTAAAGAGGTCCCATCCTATCCACAAACACTCTGGTTATGGAGCCCAAAGTGTTGTATCTGAGGTCCCTTTTTGGCCTCAGCTTCCCTCTATAGCATTTCTTCTATGCTGGGCACATGACAGCCAGCAAGCTGCACCCCCAGCCTGGAGGAATACAGGGCAATCTAAATTTCAAGGCCTGCCTGGGTTCCAGAATGAGTTCAAGACCATCCAATGTAACTTAGTGAAACCATCTCTCAAAATAAAAAGTGAAAAGAGGGCTGGGGGTGGAACTCATGGTGCAGAGTTTGTTTACCATGCTTAAAGCCCCACAATTAATTCTCAGTACCACACACAAAAAAATTTAAGATGAAACAAAAAGAGAGCTGGAGCAATTGCTCAGTGGTTAAGAGCACTTGCTTCTCTTGCAGAGGACCCGAGTTTGATTCCCAGTGCCTACATAGCAGCTCACAACCATTTATAGCTCCATTTCCAGGGGATTTAATGCCTTCTTCTGGCCTCTGTGGGCATTGCACACATGGTACACTTACATACATGCAGACAAAACACTCATACACATAAAAATAACATCAAATCTTTTAAAAATGTTTTATTTTTATTTTATATGTGTGAGTGCTTTACCTGCAGGTATGTAAATGCACCTGTGCTGTGCAATGCCTGTGGAGGTCAGAAGAAGATGTCAAATCCCCTGGAACTGGAGTTATGTACAGACGGTTGTTAGCCACCATGTGGGTGCTAGGAACCCAACCCAGGTCTTCTGCAAGAGTAACCCGGTGCTCTTGATCACTGAACCATCTCTCTAGCCCCCAAAAATCAAATCTTAAAAATAAATACATATATAAATATGTAAGAAGACCAAAGCTGGTGTAGAGCTCAGTGGGTAAAGGTACCTGCTGATGACTTGAATTCCATTTCTGGGACCCAGTATAGCAGGGCTGGGGCAGCCCAAGGCCACTCAGACATTTGTCTCTTTAGGTGTAGCTTTGGGCCTCTCCATGTGGGCCCTCTCCATGAGGTGATTTCTGCACCGCACCAGCACATGGCCATATCCAGATGAATGCTCACATGGCATCTCAAGGGGCCAGCATGAGGGACCAGAGAGTAAAGGGGAAGCTATGCCACCTTCTGGGAATTAGTTGTGGAAGTTAAATGTGTCATGATGTCACTTCCTCCAGAGTCACAGTCCCTGCCACTCAGAGGGTGGTATGTTGAAGTGTCTCCTAGAAAGGGAATGTGAGACTTAACATCCTAATGTGACCATATTTGGAAAGTCACATGAGGTAAGCTGCCACTATGCCTCAGTTCACAGACATGTCCATTAGTGTGTGTGTGGGTACAATGCAGGTCAGAGAGAAGCTAGAGTGAGAGATAGGACAGAAAAGGGACCCTAAAGTCCCACTGGATGGACAGCTGCTTACAGTATGATGTGTGGGCCATCCTATCCTCAGTCTCTCTCTCTCTCTCTCTCTCTCTCTCTCTCTCTCTCTCTCTCTCTCTCTCTCCTCTCTGTGGAGAGGAGACAGGTCTCCCTCTAATCCCAGCTGGTCTGGAACCCTCCATGTAGACTGGGTTGGCCTCAAACTCACAGAGATCTACCTGCCTCTGCCTCCTAAGTGCTGGGACTAAAGGCATGAACCACCAGTCTCTGTTTTGAGACAGTCTCTCTACCTAGCCCAGTCAGCCTTTAACTCCTGATCCTTCCGCCTCAACTTCCTGAGTGTTGTGATACAGGTGTCTAGGATCACAGTAGCTCCCATCCTCCATTTCATATCAATTAACTACAAATAAAAACAGTGATGGGAAGCTGGGTGGTGGTGTGCACCTTTAATCCCAGCACTCGAGAGGCAGAGGCAGGTGGCTCTCTGTGGGACTGAGGCCAGGCTGCTCTACATAGTGGGTTCCAAGCCAGCTGGTGCTACAGGGACACCCCATCTCAAAAAAGTGAAAACCAAACCAAAATGAAACAAAGCAGAGACACAGTGGTGAGGGCTGGAGAGATGGTTCAGTGGTTAAGAGCACCAGCTGCTCTTCCAAAGGACCTGGGTGGGTCTGTAACTCCATTTCTCTGAGATCCAACACCCTCCTCTGCCCTCTGTGGGCACTGCATGCATGGTGCACTCACATCCACGCTCATACTTATAAAATAAAATAAGTAATGGGGTGCAGCTATAGCTCAGTTGGTAGAGTGCTTTCTTAGCATGTACGAAGCCTCAGGTTAGACCCCTGGCACCACATAAACCTGGCATACACCTGTAATCTCAGCATTCAGGGAGGTGAAGGCAGGAAGATCATGAGTTCAAGGGCAACCTGGGCTACATGAGACCCTTTCTCAGAAAACCCAAAAGCAAATAAAACGGCAAGCTATTTACTAGAGTCCTACATTACCTGTGTGTGCGTGTGTGTGTGTGTGTGTGTGTGTGTGTGTGTGTCCCCACGCCCTGCTGGTTGAAGGCTATAACAAACTCCATTTCACTGACAAGGGAAGTTGTTGCTCAGGAAGACAAAGAGGTTGCCCCCAGGGAATGCACTGGGAAGTGGCAAAGACTGCACCTGGGTCTGAGGGGCCAGGAATCAAGGTCTCTTCCCATCCAGGCCTGGCATATTTGCTTCCCCTACAGGTAAGGCCAGATGTCTCAACACTCAGCATGCCAGGCTCAGAGACCAGGGTGTGGGTGGCAGCTGGTGACAGTGCAAGAACCTCAAGGCAGCATGAGCAGAAGTGGTGAGAGAGAACTAAAGAAGAAAGGGAACTAGAACTTTCTGTCTTAGTCTAAGGGGCCCTGAGACAAAAAGGTTCCGTAAAGGTGCAGGAGGCTCACCTTAACTAACCCTGGAGCTGGAGTTACTGTTGTAATCTGCCCGAAGTGGGTACTGAGAGCTTAACTCAACTCCTCTGCAAGAGCAGTACGTGCTCTTAACCACTCAGCCATCGTTCCAGCCCCAGTTTTTGTTTTGTTTTTCATGTACATGTATGTGTGTATTCATGATCAAGTGTGTATGGATGCATATGTATGTACCCTGTGCATGCATATGTGTTCTCTTCTGTGTGTGTATGGTGTGTGGTCTGAGGTTTGACATCTGGTCTTCCTCAGTTTCTTTCTACCTTCTTCATTGAGGCAGGGCCTCTCAATTGAACCCTGATCACCAGTATAGCTAGTCTAGTAGCCAGCTTACTCCACAGATCCACTTTCTGAGTGCTGGGATTATAAGCGGGTCCCCAGGTACACCCAGCATTTGTGTTGAGCTCTGGGGACCTGAACTCTGGTCCTCAGGCTTGTCTGGCAAGTGCTTAATCCTCCAAGCCATCTCCCTAGCCCCATTGTTGCTGTTGTTTTGTTTTGATTTATTGTTGTTTGAGATAAGCTCTTATTATGTAGCCCCAGCTGGCCTGGAACTTGCTGCGCAGACCAGGCTGGCCTCCAATCTGCCTGCCTCTGCTTTCCAAATGCTGGGATTAAAGTTGTATGTCACCACTCCCAGGTATTTATTTATTTATTTATTTATTTATTTATTTATTTATTTATTTAGGGTTTCTTGTTTATTTGAGACTAGGTCTCCATCTGGCCAAGAACTTGCTGTGTAGATCAGACTGGACTTGATCCTGAGTGCTGGGATTAAAGGCATACAACACCACATTCAGCTGTTGTTTCTGTGTTTTGAGACTGTTATTCACTTGGAGACATAAGTGACTGAGCCATTTGTCTCTCTGGTTGGGCTGGCCCTACCTCACACAGTGTGCGTGCTGCCTCAGTGACAGACTTCTCTCAGCTCTGAAACCATGATGGGACTTCTGGATCTCTAGGCCTGTGGGGAAAAGCTAATGAGGAACTGTTCCTAAGCCTCAGGTGGGCAGATGTCAGATACCAGGGTCATGGGTGGAGTCTGCAGGAGCACAAATGAACCCGGACCAGATACGCCTGAGGCACAGTAAAGGGCATGTGGTACATGGGGGGTAGGGTCAGAGGCTGGACATTGGGATGGGGTTGTTACAGCAGGGACCTGCTTATGTAGAAGTCTCATCTCAGCTTGGCTGGTGGCCTTGGACAGTGAAAACCTTAAAACTGGGTGGAATGGAGATATCTCTTGGACTGGGCAGTGGGGATGCTGAAAAAAAAGTCCTTCCCTTTGTTTCTGGCTCTGTGAGAGTTGATGATCTAAGGAAAATGTTAGGGGTAGTGAGAAGGCTTACTTCTTCTAGGCTCAGAGAAGTCACTTTGAAAGGGTCACACAGCCAGCAAATGATGGTCTTTGGATTAGAACCCAATCCTGGGCCACGGAGATGGCTCAGCAGGTAAAGGCCCTTGCCACAAGTCTTGGTGTCCTGAATTCGATCCCTAAAACCCACATGGTAGAAGGAGAGAACGAGCTCCAGAAAGTTGTCTTCTGACCTCCACACAAGCACACAGGTATACGTACACATGCCCACACACAATCTGTCCACCCACCCATCCACCCATCCACCCATCCAGTCATCCAACCATCCATCCATCCATCCATCCATCCATCCATCCATCCATCCATGCATGTAGGATGAACCCAATCCTGTCTGAATTTCTGGCTCCTTGCTTCTGGCTATGAATCACAGTCTGGCTCCTGAAAATTCTGAGGCTTCTGCTTCTGGCTGGTGACTTTTTAATCCGCAGAGGACTGCTGGAACCCTATGCTGATGGGCAACATCACCCAGAATCTTCTATGTCATGGCCTTGGACAATCACAGCTTGCTTAGAAGTTGCCCAGGCTGCAGAATAACATGGACAAGTACGTGTGTGAGTGTGTGTGTATGTGTGTATGTATGTGTACATATGGAGTGTCCTAGTTTGTTCTTCATTCCTGTGACAAAATACTCTGACCAATACCAACTTGGGGAGGAAAGGGTTTATTCAGCTTACATCTCCCAGGCTGCAGTTCATCAGGGAGCCCAAGGTAGGAACTCAGGGCAGGAACCTGGAAGCAGGAGCTGGAGCACAGGCCATGGAGGAATGTTGCTTACTGGCTTGCTCTCCTGGCCCCTGCTCAGCCTGCTTTCTTATGCAACACAGGCCCACGTGCCCAGGGGTGGCACCACCCACAGTGGGCTGGGCCCTCCCACATCACTCATCAAGAAGATGCCCCTCAGACATGGTCACAGGTCAGTCCAATAGAGGCAATTCCCCGATTGAGGCTCCCTCAACCCAGGTGTGTCAAGTTGACACTAAAGCTATCCAGCACATGGTGTATATATGTATGCATATATGTGTGTATGTGAGTGTGTATGTATATGCATGTGTGTATGCATGTCTGTATATGTGTATGTGTGGTATTTATATGTATGTATGTGTGCCTGCATGAGTGTGTATGCATGTGTGTTCGTGTATGCATGTGTACGTATATCTCTTATGTATGCACATGTATATACATATGTGTGTATTATGAATGTGTATATGTGTATGTCTGGGTGTATATGTGTGTGTGTACCATGACAACACTCTCCCTGGGATCACAGGGCCCCATTGCTGTGTCTCAGGTGTACCCAACATTCTGCCCCCAGTCCAAGGGACTATGACTTTATCCTAGCAGTCCTGGGAGTCAGGCTGTTTACTGAGCCCTCTGTAAAGGTGAGTACACTGAGGTTCAGAATGATGGCTTCTCTATGGTCAACAATGACGCAGTGTTGGAACTGGATGCAGGCTGCTGGGGGTTCTGCCTTTCAGAGGGAGCAGAGAAAGGAGGTTAAGTGAGGACGTGGTTGTGCATGCCCCTTGTGGCCAGAATGGGCAGCACCCACAGTGCTTCCAAGATAAATTCAAATCTCTGTGCTGACATTTCTAGTTTTATGACTTGGACTTGGAGAAGCTGCTTCACCTACTTGAGCCTCAGTTTCTCCAGATGTGAAAGAGGGATTTGGTCACAGAAAACATTCACAGCCACAGTTTACCAAATGACATTTGGGGATTGGAATTGATACCAAGGGATCCATTCCTTCTAGAGGATGAGAGACAGTTGGGTGCCCTCAGTTCTTTTGTTTTGTTTTGTGTATTTTTTGGAGACATGGTCTCATGTAACCCAAGCTGGCCTCCAACTCATTATGTAGCTGAGGCTAACTTTGAACTGATCCTCAAGCCTTCTGCCTCTACCTCTGGAGTGTTGGAATTTTGGGCATGCCCCATGCCCAGCAAGGAGCCTTTAAAAATATTTCTTGGGGGCTGGAGAGATAAGTCGGTGGTTAAGAGCACTTGCTGTTCTTCCAGAAGACCAGGGTTTGAACCCCAGCACCCACATGGTAGCTCCAGTTCCAGGGCATTCATCATCCTCTTCTGACCTCAGAGGGCACTGCACAATATGGATGCACTTACATACATGCAGGCAACACACTCATATACATAATATAAAAATAATAAATATTAAAAAAATTCTTATAGCTGGGCATGGTGGCACACATTTTTAATTCCAGCACTGGGGAGGCAGAGGCAGGTGGATCTCTATGAATTCAAGGCCAGTCTGGTCTACATAGTGAGTTCCAACCCAGCTAGGTCTAAATAGTGAGCCCCTATCCAGGGATATATAGTGAAACTCAGACTCAAAGATGGGGTTTTACTATGCAGACTAGGTTGGTTGAAAACTCACTTGTGGGATCCATTGTACAGGTTGGGGTGTCCAAATGGGACTGAATTGCCAACCTCCTCTTCTCCTCCTCTACTCCTTCTCCTCCTTTTTCTTCTTTTTGAGACAGGATCTCACTATGTAGCCCCAGTTGGCCTGGAACTTGCTATGTAGATCAGGTTAGCCTCAAACTCAGAAATCCAAGTGTCTCTGGAGAGAGAGAGAGAGAGAGAGAGAGAGAGAGAGAGAGAGAGATTCAGAAAGAAAGGCACATCTAAAGGTCATGGGTGTGGGGGTTTCTAAGAGAGGGTGGGTATGGGCTTCCAAGAGAATTGTCTGGTCTCATTCTATAGCCCAGGCTGGCCTTGGGGTTCAGTATTATGTAGTCCAGGTTGGCCTCCAACCCATCTTCCTGCCTCAACCTCCCAAGTGCTGGGATTACTGGCATTTCCTACATGTATGTCATTATATTGTGCTTTCTTCATCCCTCCAGCTCCCTGCTCCAGCTGGTTCCCTTCCCCCACTCAGTCTCCCATTCTCCTTCCTTGTCCTAGGTATTTCTCCCTGGTATTTACTATTCGTGCAATTTTCCTCTAGGTCTGAAAATCTGCCATGTAGTCAGGCCTGGTGGCACATGCTTGTAATCCCAGCACTGAAGAGAGGCTGAGGCTGGAGGCTTGCTGCGAGTCCGGGTTAGCTTGGGCTACAGGGTGAGACCATTACACTCACTCAGACCTACAGACAGGCTGACAGATAGCAAGACAAATCGCCCAGCCAAACAGTGTGCTGCACCGGCTTTCGGCAGGGAAGCTCCCGGGCCCTTTAAGGAGGGCTCCGCCCCCGAGGACTCGCAGGCCCCGCCCACCCCGGAAGGCCGGCCGTGGCCCCGCCCCGCAAAGTGGCAGTCACGTGGTCGAGTTGCTGCGCCCGATGGCGGCACCGACGGTCGGGAGCCAGGCGGCCGGGTCGCTGCTGGCCTGGCTGGCCTGGCTGTTGCTGAGCTGCCCGGCAGGCGCCCTGCCGATCCCGGGGCCCGGCTGGCAGCGCAACGGGCTCGACCTGCCCGCGTCCCGCATCCGCTCGGTGCTGCTGGACGCCGCGTCGGGCCAACTGCGCCTGGTGGAGGGTCTCCACCCCCAGGCGGTGGCCTGGGCAAACCTCACCAACGCCATCCGCGAGACCGGGTAAGGGTTGGCCGGCCGGCTGCCCGGGGTGACGGCGCCTTCCGGCCCCCTCCGGCCCCCTCCGGCCTCTGCCGCCCTCACCTCCTCCGGGCCAGCACCTGCCTCCAGGAAGAACTGACCGCACTTGTGTACCAAAGAGACCGGGTCCCCACCCCATGGGTGATACTGCAACTCCCAGCCCTGATGGCTGGTGAAGGCTCTCCTAGAGGCTCGTGCCCCTTCCAGAGCCAGGGAGTGAGCCTGGCTCCAGCCCTGTGGGGCAGTTGAAGGTCCCCAAATCCACATGCTCACAAACAAGTACTTTGGCCAGGTGCTGCTGACACCTGCCCATCCAGGGACAAGTCACTGGCCCAGTACTGCCCAGCCAAGTGCTCGGTGCTCCAAAGACATGGTCAGCAGCACTCTTGGGACACATGCAGGCCTTGTGATGGGTGTCTCACTAACTCTTCTGTCTGCCTGGGTTCCTCCATCACTGTCTGGGGCCCTGAGCTTGAAGGTGGGCTCCTGCGGGGGTTGGGAGCAGCTCAGAGGGGAGAGACAGGCAGACAAGGTCCAGAGGGAAGCCAGAGCCAGGCTGTGCTGGGGGAGCCTCCAGAATTTGCAGTTCCCCCTTTCCCCAGGTGGATTACAGTGCTCAGAGGATTCAGCTCCCTGATGTAGGCTTGGCTTCCCACCTCAGCTCCACAGCAGAGGATATGAATTCCCACAGTGCTGGGGATGCATGATGCTGAAGGACACCCGCTCCCTCCCTATTCTAGTGGCACTTGGAAAGTTGCTGCAAACACAACAGCTGGGTGGGGGCTGGTCTGGCAAGGCTTCCAGGGAGAGGAAACCTCTGAGGCTGCCCACCTTGAAGGGATCCGAAGCGCTGACTGGCAGTAGGGGTATCCCTGTGACTCCACCTGGTGGCCTGTTCTCTGCTGACTCACATTTTTGGTCCTGCTTAGCCAAGAAGGTAGGGTGGGTGCCTGGGCGTCAGCCATAGGAGGTGGCACAGAAATGAGGCCTGTCATGGTAAGGGAGACTTGGGCTCAAGAGACCCCCAAGTGGGCTTGGATGAGCCCAGTATGGTAAACTTGGTGCAGTGTGGGGGGGTGGAGCAGGCTGGGGAATCCTTCCTTGGTTGTGCTGGAAATTTCTTCCAGGATCAGCTCCATTGCTATGTGACCCAGGTCAGATCCCTTCTCTTCTCTGAGCCTGTTTCCTTGCCTGGAGGTGGGGCTGAACGGGTGGCACAGTTTCAGTAGGATTTCAGAAAGCCCCACTGTTGATTGACAGAAAGAAGGAATGAGTGAAAGAAAAGAACAAGGACCCTTTGGTCTATTTTATGATTGGGGAAACTGAGGCCTCTCCCACACCTCCCACTCCTTTCACTGTGCCAGTGTCTTCTGTCCAGGCTCCTTCCTCTGTCTCGGGTGTTCTTTCCCTCTGAGATGCCAGACTTGAGGCTATAATACAGGGAGGTCATAGTGGGAGCCTCCATTTTACAGGCAGGAAAACTGAGGCCCTCAGAGAGAGACAGCCTCTTGAAGTCTTGGGGTCAGAGGAAAGACATTCAGGCTGCCCTGTCCCCCATCAATGGGATGTCTAATCTAATCTGGGGTACACATATCACATTTTGGGGGAGTAGAGGCCAAGGATGAGACCCCCTTCTTCCTGGGGGTTTCAGCCTTGGTGATTCTGGAGCTGCTGGGAGGTGGCCTTCCCCCTTTCTCCTTTTCTCTTTTTCAGCTTTGCTGACTCTGACGTTGAAGTTTTTTTATTATTACATTTACTTATTTATTGGGGGTGGCATGTGTGTTATGAAACACGTGTGGAAGTCAAAGGACAACTTGTGGGAGTCCGTTCTCTCCTTCCACCATGTGGGTCCCGGGATTGAACTCTGGTTATCAGCCTTGGTGGCAGGCACATTTACCTACTGAGCCATCTCACTGGCCAATGAGTCTGACTTTGAACCAGTGCCCCAAACACAGCCCTGAGACCATTGGGATTTGGTATGTGGTAGATGGGGATTTAAGAGCCTGTGCCAGGCTGGCTGTGGCTTCTGCCCTGTGGAAGTTGTGCCTCTGACCTCCTTTCTCCTCAGCTGGTTCCCACCAGCCACAAAGCTGTCCCTGGGTCTGCCTGGAGTCAGTCACTGGGAGACAGAAAGTGAAACAAAAGTAGAGGGATCGCAAGTTAAGAAAGCAGGACAAGTCCAGAATACACTGCAGCGGGAAAATGGGTCAGTAAGGCTGAGCAACTTCCAAGCTGCAAGAGAGAATCCTGTGCTCTGGGGAATGAGAGTGATGACCAGAGACATGATGACACACAGGGGACCCAGGGAGGCATGCATGGCTAAAGGGGGTGGGGACAAGAGTAATGGCCTTTGGAGATATTTGAGACCCCTGCTCGCCTCTGAACAGTGGCCTGGCTTTTTCAAATAAGCTGCCACTGTTTCCTCTGCCAATGCCTCCTCTTCCTCCACCTTCTTCCTCTTAGTCTCTCCCTCTCCTTCTCACCCCCTCTGCAAGTTTGGGGTACTCAACCCAGAACTTCATACATGCTGGGGAAGCACTGGATGACTGAACACACCCCTTGGCCCTTTTTATTTTTATTTTGAGGCAAGGTCTTGTTATGTAACCCAGACTGGCTTCCACCTCATGATTCTCCTGCCTCAGCCTCCTGAGCTAGACTCTTGGGCCTGTATCACTACTCCTGACTCAAACATGTTTCTTGAGAGGCTCCAGGACTAGACCTTTGAGCTTTCGGAGAGGTATTTACTGCCCCATGTAAAACTCATAGCTTGGCCCATAGATTTTTATAAACACAGACAGATTAATTAAATAGGATGAGGGAAAGTAAGCTCCTGTCAACTGTTCAGCCTTTGTCAAGCTGGTGTGTTAAACGTGGGCCAGAACACTATTGCCTTCTGTCTCAGTTGATCTCATAAAGGGCTACAGTTTGAGAAACAGATGGGGAAAGGCCACAGCCTGGATAAGAACCAACCAGAAGTCCTGAAGTCTGTCCAGTTACAGGAGCTTCCTAATGTTTTTCTTCTGGCCTGTGACTGTGATCCAGTTTCTAAAAGCTGTCAGTCCTTTTGGCTCTGAGGCTCTCAGAGGCCATTTACTGAATCAAGTCTTCCCATTCCACAGATGGGGAAGCTGAGGCAGGAAGGGCAAGGCTGAGTGGCTGGAGGTGGAACACAGCTAATATCAGCTGTGTTCAAGTACCTGCTCTGTACTCAGTGCAGTGACCACAAGTGCTGCACCTTGGGGAGGAGGGCAGTGCTGGCCTTGCTGAGTCCAGGTAGAAGCCTCCAGAACGTTTTTGGAGATGATTCTAGGGTCATCACTGAACCCTGTAGCTCTGAGTTTGGCCCACTGAGGCTTCTGCAGAGATAGCTGCTGCCCCTGTGAATTAACATCCTTTCTTCCTTCCTTCCTTTTAGAAATTTTATTTACTCTGTGTACCTGTGGGGAGGAGGTGGAGGCAGGGGCCTGTACATACCATGAGGCACATGTGGAGGTCAGAGGACAACTTGCAGGACTTGGTTCTCTCCTTCCACCATGTGGTTTCCTGGGATTGAACTCAGATTATCCAACTTGGTGTTAGGCACCTTTACCCACTGATCCATCTCTCTGGCCCCTGTATGGGTTTTCTGAGAACTGTGGCAAGTTAGTGAAGCCCTGGTGCACTGAGTGCCCTATGGCCCTCTGCTATACACATGCAGGAAAGGCTACCTGCCACTGAGGGATGGGCGGTACCCAGTTCCTTCATCGTGGTCCAGGCTGCCCTGTGGAGGAAGTGAGCCACATTGCCGAGGCTGAGTCTCACCCAGCCTTCTCCTTTCTGCTTAGGCTGAAGAAAGCTATATGCAACTCCCTTAGCTTAGAGCTTGGTGGCTCATACCTGTAATCCCAGCACTCAGGAACTGAGGCAGGAGGATGGCAAATTTGAGGCTAGTCTAGGCTACATAGAGAGACACTTTCTCAAAACCACCAAAAGTATTTTACTGTAAAAGTAGAAGTTTGTGGGCCAGGCCTAGTGGGGGCACCACCTTTAATCTCAGCTCTCAGGAGGCAGAGGCAGGCAGATCTCTGTGAGTTCAAGGCCAGCCTGGTCTACATAGTGAGTTCCAGGACAGCTGGGGCTACAGGGAGACCCTGTCTCAAAAAGACCAAAAGTAGGAGTTTTTATGTTTGTTTGTTTGAGACAGGGTCTGGCTATGTAGCTCAGGCTGACCTTGAATTCCTGATCCTCCTGCCTCAGCTTCCCAGGTACTGGGCTCATGGGTGTGTGCCATCACACCTATCAGTGGCTGACTTTTAATGACATGGTTCTGGCAGTGTAGAAGGTCGCCTTGTTAGGTCCTTCTTGTTCCCACGGCTCCTGGGTGCCTTTTTGTTGTGTTATTTTTTGTGTGTGTGCATGTTTGTGAATGGTGTATGTGTGTGTGTGTGTGTGTGTGTGTGTGTGTGTGTCTGTGTCTGTGTAGGCCAGAGGTCAACCCCTTGGTGGCCAGTGAGCCTCAGGACTGGCCAGTCTCCATCTCCCCAACTCGGGAATCACAAGCACATGCCCCCAAGCCTAGCTTTTTACATAGGTTCTGAGGATTGAACCCAGGTTCTCATGCTTATGTGACAAACACTTTACTGACTAAGCTATCTTTCCAGCACATTCTCCATGCTCCCCCTTTCCCTGCTTTTTTTTGAGACAGGGTCTCATGTAACCCAGGCTAGCTTCAAAACTCACTGCTGGCTTTGAATATCTGATTCTGCTGCCTCTACCTCCCCAGTGCTAAGATTACAGATGTGGGCCACTAGACCAGTTTATGCCACACTGGGGTTAGAACCCAAGGCTTTAAGCTTGGTAGGTGAGTACTCTACCATCTTTTCTGCAGCCCTTTCCCCCACTGTATGGGCA